TGCTCTGGTCGGCAGTCTTGGACCGCAACATCTCCATCGAGTTTAAAGAGTCATCACGCGTTGAATCGCGTTTATTTGAGTCATGGGAACAGACCCTCAACGACGTATGCTCAACCCATCGCGCGAAAGCGACTGGGAGGACAGGAAAGAATTTCTATACGACCTTTACATGCTGAAGAACTTGAGCCTTGCAAAGGTAGTTGAGGAGATGTCCGTCGTTCATTCATTCAGAGCTAGGTAAGCTACCCAGGGCATTCGAAAAGATGATAGACACGCTAATGAGTTTTGAACTTGAAAGTGAGAGGATGTACAAGCGCAGGTTTATGAAATGGGAGTGGTTCAAATACAGCACCAAAAGATTTCAAGCAACGTCCTCGAAACCTGGGAGCAAAGTTGAGATATGTAAAGGAAAAACGACACGGCAGACGAGGAGACACAGGCAAAAACGAGAAAACCATCAAAATTGCGATATGCATAGAGGAAGTTCAGGTTTATCAGATGACCCGCTTAGGGTCCCAAGGGTCTCTTTGAGGGACATGGGATGCGAGAATCAGCCAAGGACTACATTGCTTTCCACTGCTCCGGTTGCGAGATGGGACCTGCCCCGAAGGATGACAGAATGGACTGCAAAATCAGAAAAGAGCCTTCTCGCAATGTCTCATTGTCTTAATGAGCCAATAACTCTTGATGAGCCCACAACAACGGCGAATTCTAGATGTCCTTCAACCGCTGACGACCATTTCGATGTAGGGGGCCCTCCCACTCCAAGACAAGATACTATCATGAACCCTGCCACTTTGTTGCCAATGGAAATATGCGTCAACTCAGTTCCCATCCTGTCAGGACGAGGGGCCAACCTCCACAACATCGGCGATTTGACTTCACTACCCGCGAACGAGGGTTCGCAAAACCTTACAGCCGCTGATTACGAGGTCAAAGACCTCATTGGGTCTCAGGCGCTCGCAACAATCATTTCAGCATGTATCAGCCTCTTCTCCGCTGGACTTACCTTGACGTTATCCCCAAAGATCAGTATGTACGTGTGCATCACACAAGTCCATCCGAGGAAAGCTGCCTATTCAGGTTGCAGGGGAATGAAATCGTTCTTTGACAAGGACAATCAACTTGGATACGAGAAGAACTTGCAGCAGAATAAGAGTCGGCCATTGCCTCTTCGGGCAGTTCACATCGCATCATATATGGATACAGAGAGTTTCACTGGCGTCGATGACCTCACAGAGAGTCTGAATGAAGCCCATGAGCAGATTTGCCAGCTGCAATCCACGTTAGCCGGGTTGACTCGGGCAATGCAAGAGTTTCGAGGTTGTCGTCACGATGGAGGCATACTTTGACTTGAGGACCGAGTCGGCGTGTACTTTCAAAAAAACAGTTAGCTGAGTGAAACTAGAGTATTATGCCCCTATAATTCCGGCGGCTTCACCAGCTCCTTCGTCTCTGTGATGAGATTGTGCATGGTTTTCTTGAAACAGACATCGCTTCCAGGCTGTTAAGGTACCTTATCCACGTGACCCTTATCGATAGCGTATCTTCTTATCCGTTATCTGAGGCTGGGGAGCGCAGAGCTTGGGCGACAGCTGTCAAATCGATTAGAGAACCACATTCAAACTCCGGGGAAAGCTGGCCCGGAATAGCTCCCACCCCGGTCGCGCGTCCCTCCGAGTCAAGGCAATGCCCCGGCCGAGCTGCTAGGACCCTCTCTCCATCTTGCCGCTTGCACGATCACCGACTATTCTATCCGCGCACACACGTTATGGCGTCTCTCGCTCAAATACTTTTGGGCGCTGTCGCTCTCTGCGCTTCTGGCGTCCTCGCTGCGCACCCCGAGGATGGCCTCCCTTCGTACCACTACGGCGCACCCATCCACGTGGAGTGCATGAACCGCAGCTCGTGAGTATCCGCCTACAGCCGTTCAATTCATCATCAAGAGCTTCGTCTCGACTACCTTGAGCTATACCTCGAGCTCTGGCTAATCCCTCTTTAGCGAAACAGGCGAACACATTGAAAACTCCAACCACGAAATCGAATGGATTCCCTTCCCCTCCTGCGAAGAAACCAACAAGCCGCTTGAGTTCCAATACGGGCACGAGGGCGAAGTCAATTGCACCATCCCCATGGTCTCCGACCCCTTCTTCCACCTCCTCGAGTTTTTCATCCACAACGACGCACCTCTCGCCTGCCGTCTCCCAGCCCGACCCGCGCCCCACGTCGAGACCGTCGGCGAGAAGCCCTATGTGCAGGAATACATCCCTCTGGTCTTCGCCCTCGCGGGCACCCTACAGCTGAGCCACCTGCACGTCAGCACGCACATGAATGTGCTCCTGCACAGCATGCCGAAGCATCACACTCGGCCACACGATTCGGGCGTTCTCGATTCCGGAACGGCGTATAGCACCAGCCCATTGAGCCATATGGACGGGATATACACAAAGAGGCTTGTGATTGGTGATCCGTTGCCGCTACGATTGTCTGTCAGATGGTTCCCGACGCCGAACCTGCCAAAGTCGGAGGGTCATGTCGAGTGGCAGGGTATGGGTGGGCACGTCTACGCGAGCACCGTCTTCTACATTATCACCTCCTTCATGGCAGGCGTACTCGTCGCGTCAACGTACTTTTTCGGAGTCGTCTTGCCCAAGAGGGTACGCGGAAGAGGCATGGGCGGCGCGACGCCACTCGGCTACGGTCTCAACGGTCTCAACGGTCTCAACGGCGTTGGCAACGGTTGGGGCTACTCCAAAGCGGCCAAGAGGATGGATTGAACGAAAGCACCAATAAAGCGTTCACGTCACGAGAAATCTGTACGATTTGATCCGATTCATGTATATCTGCTAGCCGCCCCCCTTTTTGAGAGGCTTTTATGATGGATGATGGGAGTTTTATTTTGATGGACGAATTAAACTGGGATGGCCTTGACCTGCGCACTTGGACTAGGGAAAAGGAGTTTTGGAATCGATCATCTGGAACCGCGCGCGCGGGGGCTGACTGGAGCAGGATTTGTAGCGATATCTTAATGGAACCAATACCTGCTTCAAAGTCCCAGTGCCCTCTTCTTACTGTAACTTCTTGGTGCTGTCTACGGCGTTCACCCGCTTCAGGATGCGCAGCCACATATCCAGCCCCATCAGCGCCGCTTTTCAGGTTAGCTAATGTTGAAAGTTTTAAGGTAGGTGTCAATTGCACTTACGAATGACCACCCATGGGCCGTAGAGGTTGAAGACAAAGACGTTCTTCTGAGCTTGGCTGTACACGGCGGGATCCCAATGGAAGACGTCGTAGATGCAGGTCAAGGTCGTGAGGGCGCACTCGACGCAGAAGACCAGAACGGAGAGTTCAAACCCGGCAGTCGTGCCAGTGCTTCTCGAGAACCTGTAGACCATCCAGGCGGCCATGGGCAGCTGGTAGACGATCTCGATGTAGGTGAAGAGCTTGAACCACGAGGGGAGGTTCTCGTGAGACGCGGTGAAGAAGGGGTCGTTGTATGTTGATATGTAGAAGTCGCGGAGGACTTGGAGGAAGTGCAATGGCGATGAGGGTGCCGCGTAGAGAGCCGATGGGTAGAATGGGACGAGGTCGACCACTGATGTGAGGATAGTCAGCTCTGGCTTCTGGTGAGGCGAAGTGAAGGTTGCTGAAAAACTTGGGACGGCCCAGCAATAAAAACCCTCAGTCACGACCCCAGTTTCCTGCTGGGAATTTTCCATGAAGACTTCATAGCATGCCGGCACATCACAATATCAATTGAGGCAAAGCAATAGAGGGCGGACTCACATAGCATTGCCGTTAGCTGGATGCCAGAGATGACGAGATACGCGCTGTCGCGCCAATTTCTTGCTGAGGCAGACATGGCGGCGGCTTGACCCCCCTCAACAGTAACAGAGCCTGAGTACTTCGTTCTGTGCTCAGGTTGAGGAGTTGCGCGGGTTGATGATAGCTGAGTTACGATGGCCGCGCCGCGTTGAGATGAGGAAAACATCAGGGATGAGATGGTAAGCCGAATTTCACAGAAGGTCTGTGCTGACATAAGCACCAGTTCAGGTGGGTGTAAGTGACGAGACAAGCTTGTCACCGAAGGATCATTACGACGCTAGAACAAGGTTTCGGAGGAAGACCTCTCGAAAATCACAAAGAGAAAGGGCAATTTTTGTCAATAACTCCTGTTCCTAACATACATAATTTACTTGCCTGACCCCTTACATGCCCATGGTTTCTCGACGCAAAAGAATATTCAAGTCGTGTGTGCCCTCTATCGCGCTACTGGTGTCAAGCGCGCCTTCAAGGGGCCTTTATCCCACAAGATGAAGACCTGCTGCTTCTTGGCCCAGTCTGTGTAGTCCTCGTCAATTTCAACGTCGAAGTTCCAAATGAGGCGGGCCAGAATGAGTCTCATTTCAACATAGGCCAGACTGCAGCGGTTAGCGACACATTCCCCGGAAAATCAGTCAGGCGACATTACTCACTTCCGCCCCAAGCAATTTCTTGAGCCAATGTGGAAAGGTTGGAAAGCCTCCCTGTTATCCGATGCGAATTTTTCATCCCCCATAAACCTCTCGGGGTGGAATCCGTATGGGTCTTTGAAATATTTCTCGTTGTGGTTGATGGCCCACTGGTGAATCGCCACGATGGTCTAATGGCAGTGTCGTCAGTATTCACATGCAGGCGAATAATGAGAGACGAACTTACGTTCTCAGGCACGAATTTTCCGCAAATAGTCGCTCCGCCCTTTGGCGTGACTCTTGGGAGGCCCATTGAGACTGGAGGATAGACTCTGAGTGCCTCATCCAAGCAAGCGAGCATGTAGGTCAACTTATTGACAGAAACCAAATCAATCTCATCTTCCGTCTTGAAAGCTGTTCGCACTTCGTTCGTGAGCTTGACCAGACAGTCCCTATTCATCAGGAGATAGTAGGTGACTCCGGCCAGTAACGTTGCTGTTGTCTCAGAACCACCAATGATGAGCGTGTTGCTGTTTGCCGCGAGTGTCTCGAACGAGATATTCTGTTTCAAAAATCGTTAGAGAGACAGCCAGGGGATATAGTGTCAATAGTGATATGAAAGGATGATTACCAATTCGTCCTTCTTCTTCAATAAGCCCTCAATTAAATCAGGTCTGCCACCCTCCTTCCTGCCGATATCCATGCGCCTCTCCAACTTGGCCTTGGCCCTGGCCAAATTTTCGCCTCTAGCCTTTTTCGCAGCCTCCGTCGCCAATAGCGTGAAGAGAATCTTCTTAAGAAAGGGAAAATGGCCAGCGGTCTGCGCAAATACGCCAAGGCGAGCCGACTGGAAAATAGCCTTGACCCACGGATGGTACTCCGACTTCTCCAAGCACCCAAACGGTTCACCAAAGGCCAAATCCCCAATAATATCAAACGTGGTAAAGTTATACCAGGCCATCAAGTCAACGGGTTCTTCGCCAGAGCAATTCTCGTGCAGGCGCTGGATCATGAGGTCCACGTACTTCATGATCAGAGGCTGCTGGTCGCGAAGACTGCGCTCGCTGAAGCCGTGGGAGAGCTGCCGCCTCAGCATCGCGTGCTCTGCACCATTGGTGTTGACAATGTTGATGGGTTGCTCGGCTGTCGGGCGGTAGAATTTCAGGGCTTTTTCGAATGTTGGTGAGCCTGCGGACCGGTGGCCCATGATGTCTTTCCAAGCGTTGACGTTGCAGTAGGCCAGTTCGTCTGGGGCGACACGGACTACGTCTCCGTATTTTTTGTGAAGTTCCAAGACGTCCATGGGAAGAGCGCCCTTAATGAGTCTGTGGCAGAAGGTCCATCTTGTCGCTCTCATGGAAATTGGCCCTGGGTAGTGTCGAAGTGGATGGAGGAAAAGATTGTAGAAGATGCATGATACTGTGTATACTACAATCTAGTGGGCGGTTAACTCAAATGGTTTTGATTCATCCCACTCTGATTAACTTACGAAAGCAGCACATGCCGTGATGGCGGTCAAGAAGCTATGTAGAAGTCCCATGCTGATCAGAGCCGATACAATGAGCGTTTGGCGTTGTTGCTAGAAAGTTTGGAAGAACAAATGAGGTTGTTTGAGTGAGATATATCTTCTGCAAACTGCAGGACGACAAGATCCTGAACTATGCGAACGCGTAGTCTGTTGCGGTCCGCCAAATCTCTCTCAATTGCTGCTAACCCATCTACAAGGCTGAGCTCGGAAATGGCGAAGTTTCACAATGGGACCTAGAAGTTGAAGTCGCTAAGCTTAAATTCGAACAGTGGTTGATCCCTACGGCCAGAAATAGAGCCCATGCCTCTTCTGAGCGACGAGCTAAGGAATCTGTGATAGTGCCGCCAAAGGAACCAGCAAATCATGAACAGATACGAAAACGAGGGAGATCAGAAGGGAAGGGTAAATCCCCGGATTGCTACTGGTTGATTGATGTTGCATGGACTTTTCCCTCGGACGGACAGCTGGGACAGCAGGCGTTCGTTTCAAATTCCGAGGGCCTGGAACGGTCACCAAGTTCGATCTCAACTCCGTGCCGCAAATTAATCATTGCAGAAGGAACGGGCCGGAAACGGGGTTCGGCATGGAAATATTTGAGGATGCGGTCAATTTCTGACGTAGCTCAGCTCTTGAGTCGTGATTTGCGTACGCAGCTGCTGCGGTAAGTGGCTAGACGCCGATTTTGCTGATAAATATTCCGTTTCTTACGAGACTCGAGCTACGTTTCAAAGGATGCAGAGTTCAAACGCGATGGCTATGCTATTTGCTCGAATATTGACTCTGGTGTACGTTCGTTGTCGTTGTCGTTGTCGCACGTTCATTGCGGAGGGTGCGATAACGAGAACGAGGTACGAGCGGGAGCTAGTGAGTGATCGACAAAAGCAACGGACTAGGATCCACGCCGCCTTAGACATACTAAACACTTGGTAGCAATGGCGGTACAAGAATCCATAGATCCACTTATTCTCCAGGCAAATTGGTCAAAGTCGTGTTCAGTAACGCGAATTCTTTTCACGAATTGTGGGATTTGGGGTCTGCTTACGCCAGTATGCGATAGCGATCAAGAGTCAGAGGATGGGAATCGCAGATAGGAGCGGATTTCGAGATCGGGAATAGTGGAATTAAGACAAGCGAAGTATCTTTTGGAAAATACAGTCCACTGAGGTTGTCACAAGTACGGCAGGATACGACTTTCGTGGGAACCATCACCTTGTATTTGGCCATGTGGTGCCTAACTCTCATCTTGATCTACGTGATCTCCAGACTCTATCTAGCGCCTGTTCGTTGTGTGAACAAATCTTAACTCACTACACACCAAGTCCTCTTACTCTCTTCCCTACATCTATACTACAGGTCTTGGCACACGATTGACAGCGGCATAATGAAAGGAACTACAGAGTCTAGTCCCACGGAAAAGCAACATACTGAGAATTCGCCAGCAGAGCCTTCACCAGCCAAAATGGGACCTGAAGAGATTCCCTCTGAGATACCCTCTGGAGAAATCTCAGACGGGGACGATAGAAATATCGTCACCTGGGACGGACCCGACGATCCGCAAAATCCTATGAACTGGCCTGATTCTAGAAAATGGCTCAACTTAGCCTTGATGTCGCTTTTGACTATTATCTCGTAAGTTTAACGCCCGCGATCGAATATAACTTAGTATCTCACTAACTCTTTCAAGCCCACTGGTACATAGACATCTTCGTTTCCGTCAGATGTAGCGACATAGAGCTGATATTTTCCAATCATACGTAGGGCTCATCTATGTTCGCCCCTGGGATCCCTAGAATCCTCGCAGAATTCAAAACCAACAATTCTCTCATCGCAACCTTCATCACCTCCATCTACTTCCTCGGCTATGCCTTTGGACCCCTGGTGGTAGCGCCTTTAAGCGAGCTTTATGGCCGTGTTTACATCTACCATATCAGCAACGTCTTGTTTGTTTCTTTCTGCGTGGGCGCTGCTTTGAGCACTAGCATTGATATGCTCATGGCATTTCGCTTCCTTATGGGTGTTGTTGGTTCAGTTCCCACAACAATTGGCGTCGGAAGTATCGTCGATGTCATGCCAATTGAGAAACGCGGACGCTCAATCTCACTCTGGGCAATGGGTCCTCTTTTAGGCCCCTCCATTGGGCCTGTCGCGGGAGGATATTTGATCCAGGCTGCCGGCTGGCGCTGGGTCTATTGGCTACTTGCGATCTTAGTATGTTGATGGAATCGTACACTTAACTCCCCAAGCTAACAGTCAAAGGGCGGTGTTTGCAGCATTTTGGCCCTGTTGATTATGCGGGAAACATACGCCCCAATCCTGCTAGAACGCAAAGCCCGACACCTACGAAAGGAGACCGGGAACCAAGCCCTACGCACAAAGGCTGACCGAGATGGAAAGAAATTGATACAGAGAGCCGTGATCCGGCCATTCAAGTTTCTCTTCATGACGCCTTTGGTGTCCATCATTGCCGCCTACGTCGGGATCGCCTATGGAATACTTTACCTACTAATTGCTACATTCTCATTTGTCTATACCGACCAATATCACTTCAGCGAAGGTGATGCTGGCTTGGCGTTCCTACCAGCTGGGCTTGGGATGATGATTGGTGTCTTGACTTTTGGCAACGTTCAAGATTATCTTGTCAAGAAGGCAAAAGAGAGAATGAGGCCAGGCGAGAAGTATAGGCCTGAAGTCAAAATCACGCCTTGGTTAACGATTCCGACCGGCCTAACGATACCGATTGGGCTTTTCATCTATGGCTGGACGACAGAATACAAGATCCACTGGATTGTTCCCATGATAGGCGTTGTTATCCTGTCTGGCGGACTCACTGGAGTTACAGTAGGCCTTTCCACTCATTATATGACGATCCGACAGCTAATGTTACCAGATGTGTGTCCAAAATTACCAAATTGATTCGTACGAAAGATATGCAGCGTCAGGTTCAGCAGCTGTCACACTATCCCGATCTCTGATTGGCGCTTTGATGCCCCTGGGAGGGTTGAAAATGTATGATGCCTTGGGATTAGGATGGGGAAACAGTCTTCTGGGCTTCATGTCATTGGCACTGGTGCCCGTGCCTGTTGGTCTGTTTTTCTACGGGGGCATGATTCGGAAGAGGTTCGATCCCGTGCTATGAGACCGAATCAAAATGTGATTCACCGCAGGTAAACTCAATTAGGCTTCCAAATCCTTTACTCGAATCCATGACATATTATACAAGCAAACCTGTTCCCGCAACCGAATGCCATTGTACTCATGCCTATGACTGAAGATACATGTATCAATATGTAAACGTACATCAGCGGAACTCGAAAACCATACTTGCTAGTGTCAAAAGTACACCATATCATTTGACATCTCCCAACAAAGGCGGAGGGAAAATGCCATCCTAGATTATCAAAATCTCATCTTTCGTACATATTCCAAGCAAAGGCTCACAATGCAAATTTGTGTTGAATAAGTCGTTCAAGAATTCATCATCAGCCCACCACAATCATCTAGGTAACAAGACAATGAAAATCAAATCAGAACAGTATAGCATATTACGGCAACCCGCACTCCCCACCACTCATCACCCACGTCGTGGTTCTCGCCATCATCCAATTATCGGCTCGTCGTCCGTAACATAGGACCGTTGCTCCCTTCGCGCTGCAAAGTTTGGGAGTTGTACCTATGCAGATAATCATGGTCTGCCAATCTACGAGGCCGGTATCGCAAAGTCAGGGCGGAGATAAAGGCGAAGAACATGCTGACAGATCCCATTGCGAGAAAAGATCTTCCCAAAAAGCTGTTGCGCCGGCCGATGCCAGAAGTTGTAGAAATGACGATAGACTTCGTGCCACGATTTTCACGGATAGGGTAGTCTGCATTTTCACACATTGTTAGGTCCTTTCATCGACAGTAGGGTTTGATGTGTTAAACGTACGGGAAACGACATCAAGGCGATAGATGCCTCTCTCCATCACTTTGTCTTTGTTGCGCATAGCCATCTTGCTGAACGATGAGCCAGCGGATGTTCGCATCCACACCATGAAAGACTCATCTTCTGCTGGATTAAACATGTTGCCTGAATGATATCCATTGGGGTACCTCTCTGCCCAACCTGGAGGAGGCACGATGAGGCTGTCATTGGATTGGGCGGTAACTGGTACTTGGTATTTGCTCGGTTGATACAATCCCTTTTCAACCCTCTTGGCGATGCCGACCGATGTCATGTTGTATGGAACGGTTCGGTTTGTACCACTCGGGATGCGCAGCGGGTTTTCGAAAGTGTCGTTGAAGTATGAGTTGGCTATCATGCCACAAGGGTAAACAATTTTCTCCTCTGCACTACCAGCAACAATTCTTGATGACACCGGAGCGCAATCTGAGCTCTTGATGCTATTCAATGAGACCGCATCGCCCTTCAGTTGGTCCTTGTGACGAGAGTTGATATAGAGACGGTGGTTTTGATGGAAATTTGTAAGCCGGTAGTAGTACAGAACTGGGGGCTGCAAGTCTTCAGGTAGGAAGAACTCTATTGTGCAAAGAGTGTAGTTCTTGGTAACTCCGTCGAAGGTCACGGACTGATTCGACCTTTTCCACTGGTCCACGGGCTGGCCCGCTGATGAAGCCTTGAAGCGTTTTCGGACGTTATCTGGTGGCATAACTTCAAGCTCGTTGTAGGATTCGATCTCGTCGCACTTTGTGTAATCTATCCGCATCTCTCGTATCTACATATCTGTCAGCAAAGTTCTCAGACAAGGGTTAAGATTCTCCAGCCTACGTTGTCATTTTGAACTAGCCAGAATATCCCCAGTGACAAGCAGACGACACCAAGTGCAAGGAAGATCTTGATTGATGACTTTGGTGTCAAAAGTGGCCTAGGAGTAAGTGTCAGAAGCTCGAACGGTGACATGAATTTGGGATCACGCACTTCCAAGCTTTCAGGCGTTGTTGATTAAATGGTGTCGCCTTTGGCTTTCGCGGTTTCTCCAACTGAAGCAAATCTTCCGACTTGGACCGACCCATCTTGTTCGCTCTTGGCCGGATATTGTCAGCTGCGTTCAGCGTTATCCTTTTCCAGAAACCGCGAATGGTGGGCTTTGTGTCTTTGACAACCGGAGATGGCCACTGGTGGTGAAATGGGGTGTAAAAGCTGGTTATGCTTGAATCCCGGAGTTTGAATCCAAGGGTTCGTCTGGCAGGTATTGACTGTTGATAATGTCGTTGCCAAAGGGACTTGAGAGAAGTTCGGCGTCCATTCTGACTACGGAGTTCTCGAGGATCGTCATTTGCGGCGCTAAAACCAGGTTGCACTGTCCAGCGCGATGGCTGTTACCGATTTAGCTCAACCAGCGCCGGCATTCTAAAACCTTGAGAATGAGCCACCGTAAAGAGGTGAAACATGTATTGACGTATTGAGTCAGTATAAGGCTAGTTGTATTGCCCGTAGACACGTAAGTATCCATCTCCTTGTCGGTAATCTCGAAAACTCCGCTGGCGATCTGATGCACCTGAGATGTGGTTGGCTAGAGAGCTACAAAAACCTACGACTCGCTGGCGTGGGGCCATCTCGTACTCGGAAGCATCCTATTGGGGCTATGCTGTAAGACAGCGGATCGTTACAACTGTAGCGGCTTGTCTAGGGTCATATTGCTATGATACACGATGCTTTTTGAAGTCTTGGCTCGTTATCGTTTTCTCTTTCGAAATCCCTTGGGCCGCTACAAGGGCCGTGCTTCCCAGCCGCTGCAGGTGGGTGTTCATCACCAACGAGGCGGGCGTGGGCGTCTGACATGGCTTGGAACCCTTGGCAGATGTTGATCTCCAGTCAGCCTTCTTAGTTGCGTGCAGTGACCTCTAGATCAACACTCAATTCCAAATATACTGACGTCGGTTCATCTTAAAGTCGACGGGAAAGGTCGTAACATATGCAGAGACCTTCCTACCGTGAGCATCAATGACACATGACCGCATCAACTCGCCCGACATACTTCGCAAATCCAGCAAAGGCACTCAACAACATAGAGGCTGTCCGGTTGTAGGTTTCATTCTACTTTCTCTGCAAGATTCCGACCAGTCTCTCACAGACGACAAGTCTCGACCATACCCAACATGGGTTTCGGAGGCTTCAAGTCTTTGCTGTCGAGATCCCGTATGCCATCATCCCCCGCCGGCCGTCGAATCCCGATCCGACTCGGACAGAAGTCCCCATTACACGACGAACGTCGCGGCAAACCGTACATTTCAAACAGCATCAAGACTTCTAAATACAATGTCTTCGACTTCCTTCCCCGGCAACTCCTTTATCAGTTTTCGAGACTCGCCAATGCCTACATGCTCGTCATCTCCATCTTGCAAATGATTCCTGGATTCAGCACCACTGGCAAATTTACGACACTTATTCCCCTTGTCATCTTCTTGGGACTTATCATATCTAAGGAAGGATACTACGATTGGAAGCGACATCGCCAAGATGTAGCAGAAAACAACCGACAGGCAATGGCTCTTCGAAGTGCCGCATCTGGAGTGAAGGGCTCCCTGGCTGCCGGACCTGAATATTACGAAGGATCGAACCCAACCGGGCATCAGTGGATGCGCGTCAGCTGGAAAGATCTCAAGGTCGGAGATATTGTCTCACTTTCAAGAGATGAAGACGTGCCAGCGGACATGGTTTTGTTGCATGCTGATGGACAAGAAGGAGTGGCCTATGTCGACACAATGGCCTTGGACGGCGAGACCAGTCTTAAATCCAAGCAAAGACCGGCAAAGCTTCCTGATTGTGGTACGATCGAACAAATCGCCTCTTCCAATGCTGAGTTACTTGCCGAGGACCCCAATGCGGATCTTTATCGCTTTGACAGCAAGCTTGCAGTGGACGGCTACACGATACCACTCACTATCAACGAAGTTATTTATCGAGGGAGTACAATTCGCAACACGACGAAAGTCATCGGGGTTATCATCAACACAGGAGAGGAATGCAAGATCAGGTTGAACTCGAACAAGGAGACAAGACCTAAGCAGCCGGCCTTGGAGAGAATCACCAACTTCATTGTCGTGTTCTTGATGTTCTACGTCCTGATAAGCTCTGCTGCGACGTCAATGGGTTATCTTGCTTGGAAAGGTTCCGAGGAGGACCACGCTTGGTACTTGTCCGGCGCTTCCGTTCCTTTCGCGGACATCTTTGTCGGCTTCATCATAATGTTCAACAACGTCATTCCGCTTTCCCTCTATGTCGGACTTGAGGCCACCAAGCTAGGCCAAATGACCCTCATCAGCAACGACTTGGAGATGTACCACGACGAGACAGATACCCCTGCAGGGGTCAATACGACCAACAACCTCGACGACCTTGGCCAGATCAGCTATGTCTTTAGTGACAAGACTGGAACCCTGACGGAGAATATCATGAAGCTTCGGAGGCTCAGCATTGCTGGAACTAGCTGGCTTCATCAGATGGACGTACCAGAAAGCTCGACAGCGAGTGCTCACTCGACTTCCAATTTGACGACTGAGCACATGCTCGAGTACATCCGATCGAAGCCCAACTCCTTTTTCGCTTCTAAAGCCATGAAGTACATCTTGGCTATGTCACTTTGCCATACCTGTCTTCCGGAGAGAACTGATGACGGGGAGATTGACTTTCAAGCTTCTTCTCCTGACGAGTTGGCATTAGTCAGGGGTGCGCAGGATCTCGGTTTCCTTGTCACTCGGCGGTCATCCCAGTCTATCACGGTGCAGATACCTCATGCCGACGGCAACAGCTCTTGCACTGTTTTTGAGATCTTGGACGTGATTGAATTCAGCAGCAAGCGCAAGCGGATGACTATAGTTCTTCGTTGTCCGGATGGGAGATTGTGGCTTATCTGCAAGGGGGCTGACTCCATCATCTTACCCCGGCTACGCATGGCTCCTGCAGACATGAAGAGCACCCGCAACAGCAACGCTGAACCTCTGAAGGGCGTTACCTCAATGCCATCACGTTGGAGTTCACGACGGTCGAGACTTCCTGCTGAGACAGTTACTGAGATAAGAGAGGACGACGACCGCTCAATTTATAGTCAAATGTCAGGAGATGTCGACGAGTTCGGAATTCGGCTCCAGCCACAACGGCCGCAGAACAACTTAGCACGCGGTAGACAAAATGATCAATCTCGGTTTGGATTTTTAGAGGGGTCCTGGATTGCGGATGAGACTCGGACCCTTCGCGAGTGTTTCGCTCACATTGACGACTACGCAACCGAGGGACTGCGCACTTTGGTCTACGCGGACAAGTTCCTCGACCCCGGAGAGTACAATAACTGGAAACACCTCCACCACGAAGCCGAGACCAGCCTCGTGAACCGTCAAGAGCGCATCGAGGAGGTGAGCGAGCTGCTAGAGCAGTCTCTTGATCTTGTGGGAGCTTCTGCAGTGGAGGACAAGTTGCAGACTGGGGTACCGGAAACGATTGAGAAGCTACGGCAAGCTAGGATTAAGATTTGGATGCTTACTGGCGACAAGCGAGAGACGGCCATCAACATCGCTCATTCGACACGAATCGTTGGTCCCGATACTTCTCTTTTCGTACTAGACGTTGAGAAAGGCGATCTTGAGTTGCAACTTACCGGCGTTGCGGACGAGGTCCAATATGGTCTCCCGCAGGTGTATTCTGACCCGACTCGCTCGCACACGGCAATAGTGATCGACGGCGAGACTTTGACTGCAATCGAAGACCCATCCGCGATTCGACTCCGCCATTTGTTTGTCACAATGATGACCAAGGTCGACTCTGTTATATGCTGCCGTGCATCGCCTGCCCAGAAAGCCCTGCTCGTTACTGAAATTGGCAAAGGCCCACAGAAGAAGTCACGATGGTATAGTTGGCTTAGTCCGACCACAAATAAGCCCTTGACTCTTGCTATCGGCGACGGTGCCAACGACCTGGCTATGATCTCTGCTGCCAACGTCGGTGTTGGTATCTCTGGCAGAGAGGGTCAACAGGCCGGTCGTGTCGCGGACTTTAGCATCTCTCAGTTCCGATATCTGTCTCGGCTGGTACTTGTTCATGGCCGTTGGAACTACTACCGCACGACACGTTTCATCTTGGCCACGTTCTGGAAGGAGACCTTTTTCTACCTCCCGCAGGCACTCTTTCAAGAGCAGACCGGGGCCACGGGCACGAGTTTGTACGAACCAGGAAGTCTTACTTTTGTGAGTTTCTTCACTGCGGCTTGCATTCTCGTTATCGGAACTTGGGAACAAGATCTCCACTCGCGCACTCTGACTGTGGTCCCGGAGCTGTTCAAGTATGGACAAAATGCTGAGGGTCTGAATATGTCGGTGTACTTTAGCTGGTTCAGTAACGCAATGATTTCTGGACTCATTGTCTATGCGGGTGCCTGGGCGGGTTACACGGACTCTGAAATGATTGACGATGACGGGCTGTATGCGCAAGGATTGCTGACATTTGCGCTTTGTGGGGTTTGGGTCAACATCAAGTTACTGTGAGTATATTTAGGCTCAGATTTCATGATAAGCCTGCTGACTTGAACCAGGGTAATTGAGCTACACTACAAAACCAGAGTCGCCCTCTGGTCAATCGTCGGCAGTATGGCGGTACTGTGGGCCTATCTGCTTATAGCGGGTGCCATCTCTTCACCAAGCGCGGGCCCATATTCCGTTCGCGGGGGACTGATTTCACAATTTGGCAGGGATCCAGCATGGTGGTCTACGCTTGTTATGGTGCTGTGTGCACTGCTTCTGATGGAGATGGCTACGAAGGCACTGAGGCAGAGCCACGTCTTGCGAGCTTGGCTGTCGAGGTGTTGGTCTTCGAGTGAAAGAGTGGATGGCAAGGGGGGTGGTGTCAGGGAGGGCTTCAACGACTGGGAGCCTCGTCTTTGGCAGGAAATGGAGAGAGATGCGAGTGTGAAGAGAATTTTGCATGGTCTCAGCAGATAATGATGAGGGTGGACTCGTGGGTAGTAGCTACCATCTTTTGAAAACAACCAGCACCATGTAGACTTGAATTGAGGTGATAAATATGTACGAAGTTGAGGATTGCTAATTTCCTACTTACCTAGCGAGTGAAAGGATTGACTCAGTTTACTGTTGAGAGTCTTCTCTTCAGATGTAGCGCCCGGTCCTAATTGTCCTAACCCGTAGCCCCGGCCTGTCTTACATCCAAGCAAACATTGACGCCAGCAGCGTAATGAACATTACCACAGAACCCACAGTCACGACAGAGGCAGCGCTTCGTCCGTTTCCATTATTGTTGTTGTTGCCGCCGTTATTTCCACCATTGTTTCCACCATTGTTCCCGCCGCCATGGCCGCCGCTGCCTCCATTATCCTGAGCCATGTTCAGCATGAAGTAGGTTCCACCAATGGGGCGTCCGAGACCAGCTTGCTTGCGGAACTGAGAGATCTAAAGACGGTCAGCTTGACATTAAAGGGACTTGAATCAGCAGAATGGAACTGACATTGAAGTTCTTCCGATTCATCTTATCAACACTCATGGCGTCGAAGCCCATCTTATTCAACTTCTCGGGTTGAACGTAGAGCAGGTACACGTATCGATGCATGCCACTGCCAGCTTTGGGCTCCGGCGCCATATAATCATTAAATGCGGGTGTTGAGTTTTTCATGATCATTGCTGATGCAAGAACCTCAGATTTGGTCTGCTCAAGGGTGAAGTTGCCAGCCAGGTAGTGCCTCATGTTTCGCTCTGTGGGACTCTCGCGTGTTGGAGAGTCGGGCCCAATCTAGTCCACAGTATTAGTACTATTCAAACTACTCAGCCCACGACGGGACACACGTACCATGTAGAGAACGAATCTGGAATTTCGAGTCACGTTCCTAGCTTTCATGATGTTCTCGACGCTGAACTCGAATGGAAACTTGGTTTCCTTCATCTTGAGTTTCGTTCCGGGCATCAGCAATGCCTTATCGCCATCACTGGCTTTGTAGCCGGCGTAGAAGGACACCATCGGATCGAACGACCCCATTACATCGGGAACAATACCGGCTTCCATGAAAGCCTGGCGGAATTCTGTTGTGGACATGCTCCTCGGGGGCATGTCATTGTGAGCAACTGCCACAGCGGCGAGTAAGGCCGTGATGCTGATGATAGACTTCATGGTGGTCGAAAAGAGGACTGTGCTTATGGTCCCTGCCCGTAAGAAAAGAAGAGAAGAAAATGGCAGTCAGCAAAACTGGCGTCCAGCACCTGTGGAGTTTTGAAGTTGAACTAGATAAGAGAATGGAGACGAATCGGCCGCTCTGGCAACTCTCGGCGGCTAAGTTGGAGCTTAAGGAGTGGATGATCTTTATCCTCTGGTTAGTTTACTCTCTCCGTTATCCAGCATCCTGGCATCACGGAATCACGGGCAAAAAAGGAACTCATCATACCCTGGATTCATGAATCTTCAATTGCGTGGAAATCCAAACATGCTCTCAGATGAGACAGAAAAGGTGAGGCTGTTTGGCTCATTGAGCTTCCCGAAGGAGCTTTTCTCTGCCGGACGTGCGCGGGGTTCCCTTTGACTTTCCCGCACAAAGTTTCAGGACCTTGGCTGCCCCTTGCTGCACGATTGGACAGATTTTTGGACGAGAAGAAATGAAGCTTTTGGTGAAGCTTAGATCATTATCTGTATGACCCTGGAAAGATCTTCACATCATCGTATGCCGCGTCGCATCCCTCGGAGAAAATGTCACTGGCCGACCGTCGATCCCACCAGACGATCAGAAGATTGCTTGGCGAACTATACTAGCCATTTCTGGCACGTTAGACACTGTCCTCAGAAGGAAACGGAACGTCGACCCTGGGTCAAGGGTCCGTTGGGAACAGACAGCGCCCGTGTCACTAAGGTGCCTCCATGCGAGCACAGGACGAACCTCATTGAAACCCTTGAGCTCAAAATGTCTGCGCATAACACATGTTTCCCGATACTGAAATTGACAATCAAACATACCTAAAGAGATGGAAGATTTAATTTGGCTTAAACACTGAGCTTGGAACCGGGATGAAAATCTGTGGTCGGCAAGGGGTCCGATTCGCATCCCCGTCAGCCCGCCTCAAAAGGTTTGACCGGGTTGAGCTCTCAGCTCATGATGTAGAAATGCAAAAGTAAAGTAGTGGGCCTGTTTTCCATAAGATCGCAATCACGGCTCGGTGAGCGCCGAGTTAGCATCAACGCAAGCATGCGGGAGTGTAAATGGAGCGAACATCGATTGGGGATGATGCTGGCCGCACTCCTCCTCACCCCTCAGTGGGGGAGAGGGGCATAATAAGCAAGAAAAGCCAAATCCATGTGCTTTGGTTACAGTGACATCCCATGTGCCCGTGGAGCAGGGCAGTTCAGTCATGGGGCAGTTTTCCAAAGAGCGGAAATCAAGAAACGAAAGCCGAGGTGGCTGCCTCCAGATGGAAACAACATATCCGACGTATTGGATGCCAAGACCAGGAAGGTTCCGTTTCAGGGCGCCAAGAAACTTTACGCCAATTTGAGAAGTCCTGAATTCCAGTCCGGAGACAAAGTTGCAGGTCTACCCGATTCGTAATTGAGTCATTGTGACAAAACGGTAAGAACAGCCGGATGTCCGAGTATAGCGTGTCATGAAACGGCCAGCCTTGAAACAGACTGTCTAAAGGCGTTACTTGTGAGTTGTGTAACAGGCAACGCCCTGGAGTCATGGCAAGGGAGAAAAGACTAGTGCAAACCATCGATAACATGAATAGAAACGGGGTTGATATGAAAGCTTATGGTCTCAGCCTCGTGTGGGTAATATTGCCGAAGAACTATGCCCAGTACTGAGATATGAGCTGCACAGAATTGCCACGAGCTAGAAGCCAATAGTGAGTTTACAGTAAGTAAGCATTGACTGACATGGGTTCTTGACTTTACAGGCGTTCCGAAAGGTGGGAAGCAGTACCGGACAGGGCAATTCGGCAGCAGTTTCCGAAAGAGCCTCTCGCGCCTGTCTCGTCCCGACTCCCGCGGTAAGATGACCTTACAGTTTGCTCTAGACTCAGTCTAGTCTCATCAAAACTCGTATATCGCAAAGCTGCTAAGTTGTCAAGCAGCTTTCCGCTCTGTGCTATGATTCACTGGCTACGACACCCGAGGCAAGCAGAGTTTGTACGTAGAAAGTAGATTGAAGGCCTAGAGCGGAGCCATCGCCGCTGTTCTTGATATACTCTTGAGCACATTGTCTCCATGAGGGAGTGATGCAATGCCCGCACAAATGGATCCGACGTGAAGCCCCTTTCTTAGTAAACGATATTTCAAGATGCATGCCAACAAAACATTAGCTAATTCCCTTCGACAGCACCCCGGTTTCATGGCCAGAGAATAGGAGATGCGATGCCTGCAAGCTAATTACGGGCTGCGCTCAGCACGAGGATAAGCCCACAGTAAGCTTACTTCGCAAAAATGAAAACAGCTCTGAAGGACATTTCAACGTGCACCCGCAAGCTTGGATCATTATTACTGCCTTCTACCCACGTCAATCAAACCCCTGCCAGTTGACTAATCCCTGGCATTTTATGAACCCAAACGTCCATCTTACCTTCGACTCCATCCACGAGCCATCGAGCTAGTGCGCCCCGCCTGAGAGTTGATATCCACCCTTTTTCTCCTATCCACCCAGTGAACACTCCAAGATCCCGGTCGTGTCTCCAGCTATTCTCATCAGACTCTCCAGGTATCTGTGCCATGCGGAAGACAGTCCAGTCAAGACCGTGATCTTCTTTGCCAAACAAGTGAGCGAGATTATGCATATTGCGATAAACAGCGCCATTCAAAAGCGGCATAATGATCGTGACCATGGTCTGAAAGAATGTCCAGTGGTCCTCAGGCTGCTTGATAGAAATTGTACCCATGGCGAGAATTCGTTTAACACCGTGTTGCTTCATCGCTGGAAAAACGTAGTTGCGGTAGATATCGGCATAAAGAGAAGGATCAATGTGCTTGTCGTTGATATTCGGTCCGAGGAGGGATACGACTACAGACGTGCCGGCCATTGCTGAGTCTAAGGCTTTCGTGTCACTCATTTCCCCTTCGAGTATCTGATGAGGAACTTAAGTTAGTTTGAACATAGTCATAACCACTCAGCGTAGAGAACGTAGACTCAAAGTTGCAACAAACCTCGATTAGAGTACTGGAGGCTAAGTCATCCGGGATCTTTGAGGGGGTTCTTGCCAGGAGGATAGTTGCATGATTACGATGAACGAGCTCTCGCAATAGGCAAATACCAGCCGGGCCGGTTCCACCAAGAACTAGCACTTTCTTGCCTGACATTGGATAAGACTTTTGGTTTGATGCAGCGAAACTACGTTGAGTTTTCAATGAGTAGTATACTTTCAATTGCTTCTTATACGACATTTTGACTGCCCTAAACTAGATGTTGCAACTATCACGACCTCAAAGTCCGTCTTCTATTGTCGAAAGTCCGCCGCGTCTGAACGTTCCCGCGCGGAAACAGGTCTGGGCGGGAACCTTAGCGGACCCGCTATGGGCATAGTGCCCTCAGCGGATCACAGCAAACATCGCCTCAAGGTGTCCGAGTCTGAGGTGAACCGCGCGGAAACATCTAAATATCGCATGGCTGTTGGGTGCACCAAGCCATATCTCTTGGTTCCCGACCGAATCCTAGAGACGACGGAAACTAGCAGTACTTACGACAGAACGAAGAATGCCACGGGAGACGTCCAGCTGTTGGACGTGCCGCATACGCCACAAAAAATGCGACGAATCATTGCCCGTCTGCAACGTCTGCGCAGGCCTTGAGATCACCTGCTTCTCTGGCCAAGAGGCCCCGGGCTGGATGGATGGCGGGCCGAAACAGCAGGCTATGACTGATAAGTTCAAGGCTGAGGTTACAAAAAGCGCCAAATTAAGGAGGGCCCGAAGGGTTGTACAGCGCATCGTTGGAGATGCCCACGTCAATGACCTTCTCCCACCGGCATCAACAACTTCAGGCTCTACCGGGGTCATCACGAGATTTCCTCTGAGGCAAAATCCTTCAACGACTGTTACGCAGGCCAACATATCTCACGGCTTAGACTTGCAACCACAATTGCTTTCTCACTCCAACGATGGAACACCTAACCTCGGACCCCAGACACCAGCTGCTAGCCCAGAGAAGTCCACCACACAACTGCCGGCTGAGTTGGAGCAGTGTTACATCTCAGCATATCTAGACTATATCGTTCCGGCCTTATTCCCCTTTTACTATCCGTCCATACTCGAAGGCGGTCGAAGCTGGATGCTCGTTCTTACTCTGGCCAACAAGTCGCTGTCCCATGCCGCAACCAGTCTTGCTTCGCATTTTTTTGCCCTCGTGCCAGTGCAACACCACCACTCAGAGAGGCCCAAATGCGTGTCTCAGGTCGAAGCTGAACTGCAGAAGCAGACGCACATAGCGATGCAAAAGGCACAGCAAGACGTCAAGGAAGTCGTCCGTCGCGGCGTACACGAAGACTTGATCACCAGCGTCCGACTCTATGACAGTATCGTGCATCTATTGTACCTGGAAGCAGCCTTTGGCACGTCAGAGAATTGGACTTTGCATTTGGATGCGGGTATAACCCTGTTGAAGCAAATACTTCACGAGGTCAACGACGAAGAGTTTCAAGGCTGTAAATGGGCCGCTGCATGCCGGAAAGTCGGCAGACTCGCGTATCCTCAATTGGAAACCCCTCCAGAGTTTCCTGCTTGGACACTCGATCAAAGCGCCTTTCGCTTCTTCACCGCTCTCCTTGTAGTCCATGATCTTGTGGCGAGCACTTCGCTTGGACAGGCACCACGATTTCAAGCAAACTACCAAGAGTTGCTCGTTACTGATGACAAGCCTGAAGAGGTCCCAAACCGAAACTGCAGTCTTCTCTTGGAGCGTTTCATCGGCTGCCAGAACTGGGCCATGATCTTGATCGCAGAGGTGGCATCGCTAGCCAGTTGGAAAAAGGAGATGCGCAAGCAGGGGTCATTCTCGAATCTCGAATTGTTCAGAAGGGGCGGGGATCTCGAGATCAAATTCAGGGAAGGCCTTAGTTCATTAAGCGCGCAAGAGCCGAAGGTGCGAGATCAGAGACCACCTTGGTTAGCTGATGACCGATTCGCCAAAGAGGAGTCTGAAGCCATCACCCTAGTCACTCAGATTTGGGCTCATGCTGGCCTTATTTACCTTCACGTCGTTCTCTCAGGCTGGCAATCAGCCAGCATGGAGATCGAAGAGGTAGTGACACAGAATCTTGCGTTGATGATGAGATTAGGTAATGCTCGTTGGCTACATACGCTCGCTTGGCCTATCTGTGTTACTGCATGTTTGGCCAAAGAGGAGCAAGAAGGCTTGATGGGTGAGGTTTTTGATCTAATGGGAGATCTTGCGAACTTTGGTCCTCCAAGGTTGGCTAGAGAGGTCTTCGAAGCTGTTTGGCTGAAGAGAGACACTGCCGTGATCGAATCTTGGGATCTTGAGGCCTGTCTGAATGTTCTGGGTCGCCGAGTCCTTTTAGGATAATCATGGATGTGGCTGTTCGTGATATCAAGGCCAGGCCGGGACTTTATAGAATAGCATAAAGTAGTATGGCGCGAGAACACTTATAACCACGGGAGACTCTCAACGGGTAAACGATAATATGCTTCTGACGCCTGGCAGCGTGAGCCATCGATAATGATTGGTATGGAATTAGGTTCTTTCCTCAGAATTTTGAATGCAACGCTAATGATGAGGATATTATACGGAGTATAGCCCCCTGCGATTACGTTGAGGTGGTAGTTCCGTTTCCAGATGCCTCATATCTCAACACGAATGGCACTGTCTTGACAACATCCCAGTCTCCCTCACTTGTCCTATCCCCAAAGACCCGTAAAGCTCTGACCTTCATGGAATAAACAGCAGGCTCAAGAACAGTATTATCAGCCAGCAGTCCATTGAAGAAAGCACGTGTTTCGGTGCGTGGGGCGTATGGGAGAGGCCAGCCAGCCAAGCTGCCGAGGTTCTCCTCCTTGCTTCCGCTGATGCGCAAGATTTCGACCTGGATAGAGGCAGTGCCAAATGTAGGTGAGATAATGACGTTGGGGATTGCGGATTGGTCGCCGCGGTCGGTAAGAGGTGGATTGGCTGGGTCGGGGCGCTTAATCGTGTAGGTCGTGTTCGCCGGAGCTTGGCTATAATAGTTGGCGAGATATGCTTGCGCCGGTGTGATGACGGGAATATCATGCATGCTGCCGACGACGCCGAGGTAGGGCAGACTCAGGGAAGGAGCATCGGTTGTACTGGTGAGGGCGATGTAGCCGCTGTAGACTGGTAGACGCGTAGCATTTACGTTAGATGGAGGAATGCAGGTGACAGTGAGCTCTGCGGATCCTCCGGCGGGCACGGTGATCTTTCTAATAAGATTGTCAGTCGAAGGTGTTTGATTCACCCTAAAGGCTGTTTTCGACTCACTCAGAACTGAACTGGAGCTCAGCCCACTCCTCGATGATGGGGTTAGGGAATGAGGCAGCCCTCAAGCGATCCGTAGTCTCCACGAAGGTGTACATGGTGACGGCCTTGCGATGGCTGATTTCAAATACAACGTCGGCAGATCCATGGTTGTCGATGGTGAAGGTCTCGTTGCCCGTGAAATGGTCGGTGTCGTTGAAGGAGATGCTATCAACGCTGAGTTCAACGTTGTTGCGAGCTGCGTCAAACGCCTGAATGATTCCAGCACCTTGTTGCGGGACAGGGGCAATGAGATCGGCATGGGGTACAGTTCCATCATACCAGGCCAGCGGCTTTGAAGTAGACGACACGATGGATCTGAGACGCTTAGGGTCCTTCGTTCCGTGAGCTTCAGCGAGAAGAGCGTAGATGGCGGCGTTCAGAGGGCAAGCTGCGAATATGTCAGTCTACTCCTGTGCGAAGCTACTTTAACCGCCATGCCGAAAAAGTATACAGGAATGTTACTTACACATGCTTGTGCCAGTCATGACACGGTAGCCACCCAGAGCAACAGGGAAGGTGGACAGAATGTTGGCTCCAGGAGCGGCGAATTGCGGGCTGGCTTCCAACTCCCAGGTCGGGCCCCAGCTTGAGAAAGATCCCATATAGGATCCGCTGGAGTTGTTCTCAAGTTCCTCAAGACGAGTCCTGGTGTTGTTTGCGCTGGGGATGGAGACCGTGACGCTTCGACCCTGCTCCAACAGAGACAGCCACTGGTCAGACTGATAAGGCGGGATAGAAGCGACACCCTGAATCCCCTGAGAGTAGACATATTGCTCGTCTCGCATAGTACTTGGAGACAATGTTAGACGTCATGAAACATGGAAACGAATGAGGCGATGACTCACGTATTGTCATTAGTGTAGAAGAGAATGTAGTGTCCACCTTTGGCGACGATCTTGTTGCCCTGATCAATGGGATAACATCCTGTGGCGCGGGAATCGGGGAACAGAAGCAGAACAATCCTGTTACTCAGGTCGGGAGTGTCATCAGGCAGTTCACTGCAAGCATTGTTCTCGCCAGGGCTCCAGAGTTGAAGCGAGAGATCGCCCACGAGCTCGGGAACACCGGGCAAGTACGCAAAGTCGGATTTGGCACCAGAACTTGAGTTAGAGTCCACCGAGAACGTGCCTTCGTTGAGGATAGTGGGGAACTTGGAGTTCGTCACGGCACCACTTCCCGCGACGCCACGACCGGTAGCCGGGGTTGAAGCGTAGAACATGCCGGTGCCGCCGTCGTTACCTTCGGAGATGACGACTGGAACACCGGCGTCGACGATGCGGGCAGCAAGGACACCCCAAGCATCCTCCGCCCAACCAGAAGGACTAACATAGAGATTAGCACAACATGAACACTTCGCTTCAAGTGTATAAGGTGCACGAACTCTCCATCAGAACACGAGATGATATCAGCTCCCTCCTCAAAGGCGCGGCTGAACGCGGCGAGCAATACTTCGTTCGTCGACGTGGAGGCGCATCCCCACGCTCGGTATGCTGCCAGCTTGGCGCCAGGAGCGGCACCCGTGAAGCCGTACTCATTTCCTTCGAGCTGAGCAGCAATGATACCAGCAACATGAGTACCGTGTCCGGCACAGTTGTCCATCGGATCCGCATCGGGCTGAAGCGGTCTCACGTTGGGCAGAAAGTCGTCTCCCGTGAAATCCCAGCCAGCCTCCACCAGACACCCAGGGCCGAAGCATCCACCAAGGGCAGGGTGGGTGTAGTCCACGCCACTGTCGATGATGGCGATGCGAACCCCCTTGCCGGTGATTCCCTGCTCGCGCAACTTGTCGACCTGGGTCATGACGTGAGGCGAGAAGGTGTCCTTGGTTGAGTTTCCAAATGCCGCTTCCTGACGCCTGGCGTTGGCCTTGGTGATCGCACCGCTGGCTGGCGCGCCATGGTCCTCGGGCTTTGCAAGCTGGACCGTACGCACAGGCCAGAGGCTTCTGATGCGCGGTGAAGATTCGATCTTGCGACGGAGGAGTGCGCTATCATGGTGGGTCTCGGCGGCATTCTTGACCTGGAAAGAAACGCCTTTGAACAGTCGGTTGCTCAGATCCATGCGAGACTCGACGTCGAGGCCATCGGCCTTGAGGGAATTAAAGAAGGTCTCGGGAGTATCATTGTCGTCTGCGAACTCGACAATGTAGGCGCCAGGAATAAGCTCGCTCGGGTTGACGTTCTTGTTCTCGCCCGTTTCGGCTCTCGGAAGCGTTGCTGGCGGAGGCTTTGTGTAGATGCGCGGATGAAGCGGGTTGGCGACGGTAAGATTCGAACCCAGGAGAGCCGAGACTAGTGCATGTGAGACCCTCATCCTGTCTGATTGATCACCCGCTCACTAAAAAGTAGGCCGATGGATAAGAAGCGGAGAGAGAGCCGCATTGCATCGCGCGAACATGTCGTTCATATAAAAGATGGTGGCGTTGAACCCCAGAAACTTATCGCGGGCGGCCCGCGATCGTGTCCCCGCTTTCCCCTGTTATTCTGGGGGTTTTGTTGCTTCGTGAGAGAAAATGACACGAGATTGGAGATGAAGAACGGCAAATACGAGATTCTTTCGTGATGTCAACCGCAGATCCCCGGCCGTACAGGGGTTCCACTCCACAATGGGTAGCATTCGACCCAAGAGCGAGATCTCTTCACTGCGCCGTAGGTGGTGAAGGAAACACATTGTTATAGCCGGATTGTATGGCAGTAGACGCTTGAACAAGACCTCATAGTCGATGTGTGTCAAATTGCTCAACGCGATAACAATGGCAACAAAACAGTCTGGTCTCGAGTTCTCCAGACTGACACTGAGCTTTCGGTGTGGGCCTTGAAGTAAATTGCGATGGAGGTTTCCAGCGAAAATCAAGGTCATTTACCCCTGCTACCCGTATCCATGCAGCTTAAATAGAGTAGTATCCGCCCTTGAGCGTCTGCCGAGAACACGCTACACCCACTGAGGCAGGAGAATCGTTCAGGTTCCAATTCCTTCTCGCTTTTCGTTGCGGGAGTCCGTACGGAGTATACTGCAGGTATCAGAGAACCAAATGATCTGAGTCTAAACGTGGGCTGCACTTCTGAAGCTTCAAGTCAATGAGAAGGTTGGGTCATAATATTCAGGGTGTCTAATGAGGTCTTAGTTTGTCAACACATATCGGTACCTGGGTTTACCGTCGACCATGTCCAAAACTGCCTGGTTGGCCTCCTTCATTGGTCGTGTCTCAACCCAGACCTTGACTCCCTTGGCGGCCACAAGGTCAAACATTTCTCGGATTTCCCCAGGACTGCCAATGACTGAACCCGTCAAATGCACTCGGGTTCTAATCAGGGCAAATGCGCTTAGAGGAACCGGCTCCTCGGGAGCACCAACTTGAACGAATGTGCCTCCACGTGATAGAAGGCCAAGGTACTGGGCCAGAGGCATCTATCATTGTGTGAGCTTCCATCCAAGGACCAGAATTTTCACGGAGGGAGCGACATCCACGTACCTTGGGGGAAGCGACCGTAGAAATGATCACGTCGAGGGTGCGGGCATTCTTCGTGGCCCAGTCCTCGTCTTCAGCTGTCGCGATGAAATCGGTTGCACCAAGCTGCGTAGCATCTTGCTTCTTATCAGACTTTCTCGAAATAGCCACCACCTTGTCTGCGCCTAGAGCCTTCGCGAACAAGACTGCGCAATGGCCGAGGCCACCGACGCCAATGACGCCGACTCTCTTGCCGCGCCCGACGTTGTAGCGCTTCAAGGGTGAGAAAACCGTGACACCGCCACAGAGCATAGGAGCAGCTTGCTCAGGTGCAATTCCCTTAGGAATCTTGATGACGAAGTAACCCGGGCAGCGATGGTACAGCGCATATCCGCCCTGTGTCTGACTCCCATTACGATGGAGGCTGTTGTAGGTGTTGACGCGCTTGGTGCAGTAGTTCTCCTCGCCAACTTCGCACGCATCGCAGGGCCCATCGCGTGAAAGGCACGAGTCGGATTGCGCGCCTACGCCGACGATGTCTCCAACTTTGATGCCGCCTTCTGCCTGAGATCCGACGCGGACGGCTACACCCACAATCTCATGGCCGACGACAGCAGGAAATCTGGTAGCACCCTAAAAGTCACAGTCAGCACACTAGCCAATTGAGACTCGGAGAACATGCAGAATGGCAGACGCCGCATAAAGTGTGCGACATACCCAGCCAGCCCGCAGTGTGTGAATATCGGAGCCGCAAATGCCCGAGTGAGTGATTTTGATATCAACGTCCGTCTCCTCCCAGACTTTTGGCTCGTACTCTCGCCAGACCATCTTGCCGTCCACCGAAGAGGGGTCGTCCGCCACCCATCCCTCGAATTTGTAGTCGGTAGCCATCTTGAAAATGAAGTGCGGCTATACTGTTCAACGTCGAATGTGAAGGGATACAGTGAACAACACAAGGTCACTGAGAATTCCTTATATCTAAACCGGACTTCTTTCAAAGAAATGCCGGGCAAGATGTGTATGTCAGTAGGTAGATTAGCGGCAACGCTATCCGTTTTGCCGAGGTGTTTCGGGCGGAGAACATGACGAAATACAAAAGTTTCCCAAATACCGGAGTAGAAACGGAGTTAGTGGGAGCCCGGAAGTGGCACTGATAGTTCGTGGGGTGTCAAATCAACATTCTTTATCTGAAGATTAGCTTGTATCGGCCAAAAGCCCGTCAAAGCCTGGTCCACCTTGCTCCTACCTCGCTCACACGTAGTCCATCCGTCAGCAGACTGCAGATGGGGGCGTGTCTTCCGATAAGATGGAAACGCGGCAGAGGGGTCGCGGGACGCGGGGTCATCGGCGTGAAGTCGGAGTGGAGTAAATACCCCACTACATTCAAAGAGGCTACAAGTCCCCGAGATTGACTTGGCTCAGGCTTTGACTCCGGACATTGCCTTGAAAGCTGAGTACTGCTTTGAACGTCTGGGTACTTTTGCACAGCCAATTTTGCGGTCTCCCAGTTTCTTGGAACTTCTTTCTCTACCTTAATCGTTCCTTGTGGTAAGGGTTACCGGTATCAATGCGTTGTTGTTTTTGCTCAAGGAACCATATCCACATCGACGCCGCATGACGATTTAGCGGTGCGAAAGGCCGTCATGATGGAATTTCATAGTTAGATCGTTGGTCCCAAGATCAATGTTGATCAAATGAAAGTGAGTCAGTATTGAATTGCAACAACGCTTGATGGACAAGCAGCATGTGGCTTCACTCCCATCCTCTCATCAAAGTCCGCCCAACCACCTTCAGGAACAATCTGAACACTTCGGCCATCTCCTGCTGAAGCAATCCTCAACCCAAAAGTCTTGCCAAACAGAACTTGATATTCTTTCTCCATGACAGCCACGAACAATTGACTTTTGGTCAAACATATGCTAACTTCGCTATCAAACGCAAGCAAATGATGACGGCAATGCTGGGTCGCCTCCAACGTAGTGTTGAACTTGCGGGTACATGCAGATGTCTCTCGTCATGTGCTTGCCATAGGCGTTGAGCCCCTCAACCCGCAATGTGACCGGTGCAATCCCCTTCTCTACCCAATCGATCAGCGCGGACAGCGTGTTCCGCGGAGCAAGGCCATTTGAGATACTGTGATCAGCGCCCGGAGCGAGGAACATGCGAAAGTAGTCGTGAGCTTTGGGGTCCTTCTTGAGGACTCTGTCTGTGTAATCGACGGTACCGTTGACTGGAATGATCTGGTCCGCCATCCCATGCCAGCTAAGCAATTTGCCTCCAGCCTTACGGAACCTGCTCAAGTCGGGATCGGAAGTGCCGGTGATCGATTCGTACTCGTTCCGTGACGCGACGAAAAGATCATCCCACTGACTGTGGCTAAGCGCTTGAAGATCGAGGTTGGCGTTTTTGGCAACAAAGTATCGTGCGTACGACTCGGCGATGGACAACCGGACCGGCGCACATTTCTCCCCTTTGCCATCACACGACGTATGGAGGGCACCGAACTGCCACATTATTGCATCTCTCCCGTACCCATACCATTGAAACTCGCCGGTCACGCTCTGTGGTCCATTCCATGCAGCATTCGCCGCCTCTGCTGCTTCGAGAGTAAACAACGCGTCATTCCCTCCGCAGTCGAAGGGCCGGCCGACGAGAGTACTGGCATTGAAAAAGCACCGAGAAGGCATAGAGATGATTCCATCCTCGGCCCCATCAAGCCCGTCGCATGCTTTCATGGCCGCAGCCGTGATGGCTTGGAACTCGCAAGGCCGCGGGTAGACGCCCTTCTTATCCATGACTCGATGAGCCCACAGAGGAGACCATTGAAACTTATCCCAGTTGATGGCAGGACAGAAGCCTAGAATTCCGTCGAAGTCGTTTGGATAGCGCTGGGCTAGCATGTACGCCTGTCTTCCGCCAGTTGAGCCGCCGTAAAAGTATGTGTACTTTGGAGGGGCGCCGTAGAAAGCCTCCGTCAACGCTTTTCCAATTGTGGCCATATCGTGTAAGGCGACGTGAGAAAAGTCGAGAAAGAGTGGCCAATTGATGCTTCCGGGACTGGTGAATGCCCAAGACATATCATTTCCTGATGCTTCGTCAAGTTTACTCGAGTGGCCACCATCAGTTGTGCTGACGACGAATCCTGCCTCTAAAGAGGGCATCATCGTAATCCCGCCTACTTCAATCCCCCCCGTAACCCATCCGCCACCTCCGTTTCCCTGAAATCTTCCGTTCCACTTTTCCATCGGAAGAAAGGTTGTAACTTCGATCTCATCGTTCCAGCCGGGATGGGTATAGACCAGTGTGATGTTGCAAAAGTTCAGGCCATGAATCTCCCGGCCAAACCGAAATCTGGGGTGAGGCTTGTATGTGAAGTTCCGTTGCTCGGTCGTAGTGAGTGAAATAATATTAATGCCCTCGAGCGCAGGATATTGTATGCTACCCTCTTCGCATCCGTTGTTTGCGCCGAAAGCAACCTGCGTGAGGCCAGGGTCTGCCCATTGAGCAAGCGTGGTAGGAACCAGAAAGCCACAGATCCAGCCGCGAATAGAGGCCATACTGGATACTATTTCACGGGGCGAATTAAGATGCTCTTGATCAGACTGTGCGAAGGCTGGTAGGTATTACTAGAGGAGGAGGTTGAGACTATCAAGATTTGTGAGTAGTTACCACTTATCAGGAGCCTCAGTATATAGAGGCCTCGCAGCTACAATCAACGGAGAATTATTTCGTCTCGTGCTTCTGAACTGAGCAATTCTTTACGCGAACACACCAATCACATAACGCAAGCAGATGAAAGAATTCTTGCGGTCAGACTGCATGATGTGGCCATTTGGTTGATTCGGTTTCGCGAATGTCGTGGGAAGAAATCGTTACCTTACATCATTTGATACGAGTATCGACCGTCACATCACTTTTTTTGCGCATTTATCCTTGCTTCCACCTTTCTGCATTGTATTGGGAACTTGGAGGTAAGATGCAGGGGTGGGACTGTTTTAGGTTTCTTCTGCTCAACATTGTTAGGGGATGCGAGGCACAACACGAAGGCCCATCAGACGACTCAGGCGCTGAAGCCCCAAGCCGCACCGGCATCGGGTTCTTCGAGGGGTCCGAAACTTAGATTAAGGGAAGAGATGGGCGGGGCTCTCTACGGCCCTAATATCTGAACGTCAAAAGAGAGAAAATGCCACGGCGCTCGATGAGGATTTGCTGCAAGGAACATCAACTCGTCAAGGCGATGCACTGTACTTCCATCTCTGAATCTAGCCGTCAAAATGCATTTTTTGCAGCAGCATCAGAAAATACAACCACTGCAATTGCGTGGTGAATTATCTCTTGCGCTTGGTGTGACCTGTTCCTCGTCAACTTAGCTGTCTACAAAGGTCCTTCACTCTTGCCGGGCTGCCATAAAGATGTCTTGATTCTGTTTGTCGCACATCGTACCCCATACTGAGCAAAGGCTCTATTAGATTAGGTCCCTGCCACATCACTTCCCAGCCTTTCCACAAAATTCGGCTTCAATTCTCATGTGAATGATTCCCTACAGGATTTCAATCTCATGGATCTGACCAATGTTCTGAGAGGTTCGAGTTCAACAGGTTCGATAGGTAAAGGTGGCTGTGGCTGCTCCGAATAGATGATTCCCGGAATTTCCCCTTTCGGCTGGTACCGAGTGGGACAGGCCGAATATGGCCCCCGATGAACATCGGCCCCACCCCGGGATATCCGTCAATCTCAAAGCCCACCAAAGGCATCCATCTTCGTCACTTCGTAATCTACCTACTTACCTACCTTAGTAGATGATATAATCAGTGTAATTGTCTCTAGCTTCTAATTTTTACACCCGATCTCATCTGAAATTTCCCCTCTACCTTACCCACAGCGAAAATAAAGATGTGCGGCATTTCAGCTTGTCTAACTCTACCTTCGGGCCACACATTTCATACTGAAGCCCTGAATGGATACGCAAGCGGACTCAGTAACCTTATTAGCAACGATAGGAACGATAAGAGAAGAGATCTACAGGATCTTAGAGATCAATTGAGGAGGAGCCTTGATGCCATAAGTCATCGGGGTCCCGACGCACAGGGGGTGTGGGAAAGTGAGGATGGTTTCGTGGGTCAGTGCTGATGCTCATACTGAACTCTCCTCTATGAACTAAGCAGAAACCACCGCAGGCATGGGTCACTGTCGCTTGGCTATAAACGACTTGACTCTTGACGGCAATCAACCTATTCACAGTGATGATAACGCCATTCACGCAGTGATCAACGGCGAGATCTACGACCATGATCGCATCCGAGAAGAATGCAGAGCAAGAGGCTACGTCTTCAAGGGACGCAGCGACAGTGAAGTTATTCTTGCATTGTACAAGGCTTTTGGTGCACCGCGGTTTCTGGATCATCTCCGAGGAGAATTCGCTTTCGTACTTTTTGACGAAACAGCAGGAAAGGTTATCTTGGCGAGAGATCGATTCGGTATCAAACCACTGCTGTGGACTATTGTCCAGCAGACTGACGGGGATACCAGACTGCTGGTCGCCCCAGAAGCGAAAGCTTTTCTGCCTCTGGGGTGGAAGCCGCAGTGGGATGTTGATGCGATTGTGGATGGTGGGTGGATGCAAGACGGGAGGTCACTATTTAAGGGAGTCAAAAAAGTGCTCCCGGGGCACTGGATGGAGATATCAAAAGACGGCATGATGCAAATGCATCAGTATTGGGATGCTGATTATAAAGACAAAGTAATTGGGCCCCCGATCGTTCAGGGAATACTCAGCTGACAACTTCTCAGACTGAGGGAGAGACCAGGAGCGTTGATGAGATGGTTCAGGGTCTGCGAGACAAACTGACAGAATCAATTCGCCTTCGCTTGAGAGCGGACGTCCCGATTGGCATTTACCTCTCAGGTGGTATCGACTCGTCTCTGGTTGCCGCAATAGTAACCCACTTGGTAAGAGATGAGGGTATCAAGATTGGCAATAGAGACGCGACAAGCCGCATCAGCTGTTTTACGATTCAGTTCCCCAAGGAATCCGGATTCGATGAAAGCGGTAAGAAAGTTCCCATTTGTGAAGCAAAGTACATGCCTCTCATGACTCTGTTCTAGATGTTGCCGAGCGAACAGCAGAGCATCTTGGCGTCCAGATTTTAAAGAAGCAAGTTGACGAAGTTGAGTTGGCCAATAACTTTGCTGACTGCGCTTTTCACTGTGAGCATCACCACTTCGACCTAAACTGCGTCGGAAAGTTTGCTCTCTCGACTTTGCCGAATGCAAATGGAGTCAAGGTTGTGTTGACCGGGGAGGGTGCCGACGAACATTTTGCCGGATACGCATTCTTCCCTCCAGATCTGCTTCGCGAGCCCGACCTTTCCATGCCAGACTCGCCGCTGGTAGCCGACTCGCAGCTCAGAGAAAACATGCAAAGATCTACCGAGCGGGATATCAAGATGCTCATTCCCCGGGCCGGCGCTTTTGAGCACGGTTGGGAAGCAACAGCGGCCATCCAAAAGGTTAATAACACCATTCTTCCCCCATGCATCCTGGCATGGCATCCCAACCTTGACTTGTTCGCGAAGTGGGTACAGGAGGACAAGCGATGGGCCAACCTCGACTGCAAGGAAGTCATAGTGAGGTCGTTCAAGCCGGCGACACTGCAAAAAATGCAAAGAAAGTGGCATCCACTTCATACAGCCCAGTACATATACAGCAAGGGCCCGCTACCGAATATTCTGCTAAGCTGTCTCGGTGACTTGACCGAGATGTCTCACAGTGTGGAGGCTAGAACGCCGTTCCTCGACCACAAGCTAACAGAATATGTCAACAACTTACCTCCGAGTCTCAAGATGGCTTACACACCCGACAAGATACCCCCTGAGCGACATCAAGGTCCGTGGTGGGAAGGTATCGGCGTCGCGTCACAGGCCTTGACCGAGAAGTGGATCCTTCGAGAGGCAGCCAAACCATTCATTCTCAAAGAGTTGTATGAGCGGCAAAAGCACCCATTCACAGCGCCTATCAAGTGGCCTAAAGGCGGACCGCTTCACAACATGCTTCTTAATACCCTGACTAGAGATAGAGTGGAGAACCTTGGCTTCGTGGATTATAACGTAGTAGAGGATGCGCTTGATCGTGGCTTTGGCGAGAAGGCAGATGTCAAAGCTTTTAGGATTCTGCTTTTTGTTGCCAGTTGGGTAACGTTAGGTGAGCGTTTGGGAATCCCAAAAGCTTCTCTGCAAGATTGCTGTCAGTATCGGGCTGGGCTTAGATGACTTAGTAGGACTTTCCCGTCAATATTATCAGGATCGAAAGCAGTGTGAGGGTACTTAGTAGTCATGCGCAGCACCAAGGGGTCACTTTGATTGTGAACATTGAAGCTGAAAATGTATGTCATTCCGATTGTGAACGAATCTGTACATATGCCTAGACCAAATCCAGTGACCTTCTTGGCTCACACGAGAGTAGTTTTCAGCCATAGAAACTTCCAGCAATGATCGAAAGGTGACATAAGATCTCATAGTCTTGAACAACTTCAAATCATGCTTCTGTACGGCTCTCGAAATAGGTCTGCCAGGTGTCCTGGTATCACTTACACATTCGATTGCTTACTTTGCATCATTTGCAAACTGGCTTCTCATCGCACTGACCACGCGAATCACAAGAGTCACTTCTACATGTATGGTGCAAAGGATGTCAAAGTTCTCATGGATCATCACATCCCCACATACCTTAACTTTCCTCTCTTAACGAGTAAAGCACCCACTCAAAGGTCGCCCTATATTTCCCATGTAAGTAGGATACTCAGTGATTCTGAATGATTTGTTAATGTTGATTGGTCGATCAAAGTGTCTGGCGATAGGAAATGTTCGTATTCAATCAGAAGCTCTCAGCATGCGAAGTTAGCAAGAACGAGAATCCACTGGTCTTATTCAAGATGTGTAGGATGGCTCGTGCCAACCAGAGGATAAATCGTTTGTGGCCCGCCATCCGATGCGAACAGATTTGTGAAGTTCCTAACCTTAAAGCTGAAGTCTAAGTCCGATTCGGCCAGCATATTTACCCAACTTGACGCACTAAACCAAGCCATCCGACCGGCTACTTTATCAATTTCTTGACATGCGTTCTGCTCCAAACTAGTACGGTAATAGTTCAAGGGAGAGGCTATGATGACTATGTATTGTCGATAACATGAACATAGATTTGAGTAGTTTATCGGGGGCCTAATTGTGCATAGGCAGGTACATGGACTGAGTTAGACTGGCTCGGAACCGCCCCGCACCAACCCTGAGCTGGCATTGGCCTCAGCGTCAACATCTTTGGGCAGAACTTAGCTCCCTGCACGGACAGATGAGCATAGCTTTGTTGAGCTTGCGAAAGTTAAAGTAACTACTTGCGACCTTAACATGGTCTTCCAACAGCAGTTCTATTACGTTAATTACTCCTCTCGACTGGTACATATGCACCCGCCGGCCAATACTCCAGCTTCCTCTAGACCTTTGCGGAATACCCGAAGCAGTAGACCCCTAGAAAACATCTTGACTTATTTACGAGAACTCGTAGTAGACGTGATCCCATTTTCCACCATTGTCGACCTTGATCTGAATGAGCTGCTTGTTGATAGAAAAGTCTGCAATCGATCCTCTGATCGCCGAAGAGAAGATCGTTGTTCCGAGTCTCTCCCAGCACCATTTGCGGTTTGCGTTCGTCTCCTTGCTGGAAATCTCGAAGGATGCAGTCGGTCTCAGACCAATCTTGGTACGGCACTCTCCCAGGGCTTTGTTCATGTCGTCGTTCTCAATCTGGTAGCCCAAGACCTCCTTCAACTCCGAGGGTTGAAGGCCAGTCATCTTCCAGCATTCCTTGAGAACCTGTCGCATCTTGAGGCGAGGCGTGGTAGTGTCAAATCCGTTCATGGCCTTGATGACAGTCAAGCGCTTGGACACCTTGTTAACGAGCAGGGTATCGACAGGTGACGTGTTGCCCTCCTCATCCAGAGCAGTGTAGCCGTCCGCGTAAACGGAGAAAGCCCAACGATTTCCAGTCTCATCGGCTTCGGCATCAACAGCGTAAGCACGGTTTCCCTGCATAAGAATTAGCTTATTGGACCTGAAGAAAAGCTTCCCTGGATACTTACAGCGAACGGTCGGACAGGTTGACCAGAGATCTATCTCGTAATTAGTTCAGTCAGACGATCGACTGGTTGAGGGCGGAGATAGTTAGACACGTGTCTCGGGGCAACATACGAGCGTGAGAACGGAGCCGAGTGCCAAAAGAATGGCAGGGAGATGACCCGACAGCATTTTGATTAGCGAGCGTGATACAAATTAGACAAATGAGTGTCGGTTGCGCGATGGCAGGCTGTAGGTAGAGGCGGCTGAACAGCTGATTTCTTGATGGCCCTAGGTAGATGGAGATGCTTGTTTGATGATAAGGTATATATCCTGATTCTCTCAACTTGAACGTGACCAAGAGTTGTCGGGCACACCGAAACCTTAATCAATCCCTTCTCTTGAGTAATAGGAGACTATAGTGGGGCAGGTCTTGGTCACAGAAACTTGAACAGCTTGTGTTGGTTATGTGCGTAGAACAAGCGTGGTGGGTTGTCAACTTGGAACTCCTTTGCTGAATCGCTTGATGTGAGCTATCACTTCGACTTCAATATTACGATCCCTTTTAACATTGTCTGGCATTCACTTGTCAGTTGCATTTAGTTGCGAAAGAAAGAGCGCTTTGGGTCGTCGTGGATCTCAGCAAGTGGGACATTGAATGCACTGAGTCAGGCAAGTTCACTATATTTGGCACAATGTTGTAGATCCTTGGCATGGAAGAGACGGGACGAACATATTCCAACTGCGTTGTCAACCGTAAACTCTATTTATATGAACTATCATGTTTAATTAACTGGCCCAGTTGCAGACTCAACGAGTCAACTATTGTTAAGCAGTCTTCGGTTTCTCCGATGTCAAAACGCTCTCTTGCTTGCAAAGATCAAGGAACCGATAACTCCTCCGCTGGGGGTGGTTGAGTGAGCTATATGATCTAGCTTTCTCCCCCAGGCTAGGCTTGAAAGAACCAACATCATTGGGCTCTAGTCTTTCGTTAATATCATAGCCACTAATAATGCGTCACTCGTTTTTTTCGTCTTTGCTTGGCTTGGCCACGCTGACGGCTGGCGCAGTACTGTCGCCACGTGAGAAGGACGTTTCCTTGAATAATCAGTGGAAGAACCACGACCGAATTGCGGCTTTTCAGCAACAAACGGCTGATGGCACCCCAGGTGACATCGAACTTCGTTTCAAGCCTTGGCTGAACGACGGTAGCGGATGCTTCCCGTATGCAGCTGTCGATAAGGATGGCTTCCACGGGTACGTATCCTCTGAACTTCTCTTGGCTAGGCTTCGTTCTCATCGATCCTCTCTCTAGGCGCGGCCTCAAACCTACGGGCAAGAGTGGAGGCGATTGTCGAGACTCTGCCAAGGGTCAAATCTACTCCAGAGTTGGAACCTCGAATGGGCGGCCGGCCGTTCTCTACTCGTGGTATCTTCCCAAGATCCAGACCAAGACCGAGAAGCACAGGCATTGGTACCTCACTACCGTGGTCTGGCTACACACTGAAACATGCAATGCCGCTGCTGGCAATTACGATATTGCGGGCATCAGCTATTCCACCGGTACCGAGACATACGACAAAGGCCTTACTTCGTCGACGATATTTGCCTCTGGAGACAGCGGCACCGGCGCCACAAACACGCACGCCATCGTGGGTTACGACGGCCAGGTCAACGTTTTCCCTTCGGCGAACAATGCTCAGTACGGACTCAGCCCGCCGCTGATTAGCTGGGATAGGCTATCGCCGGCAGCCACATCGCAGTTCAATGCCTTCCGTTATGAACATGCCCGCTGTCCGTTCACCGATGCCAACATTCAAGCCTCTCTTGACGCAGCTTACAACGCGGACTTTTATGCCAATCTTCCGGCCGAGCCTGACGCGAACTGTGGGATTATTGCGACCTCCACTACACCTTCAACACCAGAGGCTTCCTCCACGGGTGTATCAAGCGACCCAAACACTGACCCTGTTGAAGATGGACCAGAGATTCCTATCTCTTCCTTCCCGGCGGATCCCACTTACACACCTACCCCTTACAAGAGGCAGTAAGACAATAAACTTACTCGTAGTAGATATTATTCTTGATTGTAGGTAGAAGAATAGTCATACATGTACGTTTCCAAGGCTCTCGGTCTGTTCCTCCACAACATGTTTCTTTAGCAGCAGCCTACTTTACGAATGTCGACGATACATGATGATTAGCCTTCCATACTAGTACATCCATTCAGTCCAATTCGACTCATGGGCAAAATATACTTCGCTCTCGGGTTGGCAAAATGTTGATTTAAAAAGTCAAGGACACAATCGCGCAAATTACTGGGCACCTTGGGGTTCAGTTCAGATACAGACTTGCATTCAGATGCGTGATGTGTCCTTAAATCGGCGTGCACTGGATGCAGCCGTAATAGGGGATGGTAGCCCTGAAAAGATGTTGCGCGCTAGAAGAAGCCCTACGTGAAGCGCTGAAATTGGGTCCATTAGCGCGCGGGCCTCCTAATTCAAGTACCGGAGCCCCTTAAGGCCTCTGGTTTGTTACGATGTCACAATTCTGACATGATGTCCGATGCTGACATGAAGCTATCTACCTGTTTGTGGAAATTCTTAGCCACTGCATACGACTTTTCCGCTACACATGGGAGGACCAACCCGCAGGCACCTATGTCTACATCAAGCAGCGGCAATGTGATGTCGCGATTGAAGATCTGCTGTGATCCTCGGGCGGGCAGCCATCAATGAGAACACAAGACGGCGACGTCTTTGCCAGCCATCGCTCAGTACCTACAAATCTCTGTAATGGTCAGAAGCCATTGATACATGTATTTACGACTGAAAATGACTTTGGCTATTTTGAAGAGACAGACATTCGAAACGAGCCACGACTTCTGCTAACAGGTTTCGCTTCGCCATTCATCGCGAAATATGGCCAACTGATGTCAGGTTTTGAGTATTATGCCGGTTGATCATCGGATATGGCCATGCTGTCATCCATCTATGACATCAGTGACCTGCTTCTTTAGGCAAGTTTAGCAGTTGGACGTCGCCAGTGTGGATCGCTTTGCCAAACAGCTTGGCAGAGAGAGACATCGACACCGTCTGCTGCACCGTGCTAGTACCTATATGTAGATTGACTTCTTCACAGTTAGCAAAATCTCCTCCTCAATGCCAAAAAATAAGACGCACGCAATTAGTAATCCGACTTCAACAAAGTCGAGAGATGTGTTTGAGACTTCGAGTTGCAGGTGCCGTTGTGGAGTCTACCCGCGGAGTATCGGCGTTGGCGTTGCGCCAATTCCCCCAAGCCCATCCTCCCATATCGCCGGGCTTAATTGCGTCGGTGCCCCGCACCACGGCCATGGCATAAATACCTTAGTTATCAGAAGCTCATGATCTGCGAAGTCAGAAGTTCCATGCGGACTGCTTGAGCTCATCACTACATTCAGATTCATCTTAGTTACTTACTCTTACGTTGCAACTTTGACTTCGGCAAAAGACTTCTCGCCTTCATCATGTCCACGATCAAAGTTGGTGTTGTGGGATACGGCTTCGCCGCCAAGAGCTTCCATCTGCCCTTCATCACCGCCAACAATGACTATCAAGTGATCGCAATCCTTCAACGAGCAGAGGCTCCCGAAGACCTATCTTCAGCGGCACCTGGCTCCCACTGCAAAGTCGACTTTCCTAATATCAGGCACTATCGCACAGAGGAGGAGTTCTTTGCTGATCCTGATACGCAACTCATTGTTGTCGCAACACACACGGACACTCATGCTTCGTTTGCCGAGAAAGCCCTGCGAGCTGGGAAACATGGTATGCGCCGACCCAGGGCCCAAATTTCTCATTTTATGATATGAAATCTGACTTTCGCACATAGCAATCGCGGATAAGCCATTTGCGAGATCATCCGAGGAGGCAGACCGTGTTATCGAGCTTGCAGAGAGTAAGGGCCTGATTCTTTCCTGTTTCCAAAACCGGAGATGGGTAAGTAATTTCTTATTCATGATCACTTTCCCTCTTTTGTGTGTCTGCGCAGTTGCTGAGAAAAAAATTAGGATGGCGATTTCCAGACGTTGAGAAAACTCATCAAAGAGGATGCGTTGGGCGACATCAAAGAGGCTGAAATTCACTATGACTTCGAGTCGCCTCCTTGGCTCTCTGGAATGACGAAGAAAGAGTACACCCCCGGCGACGGCATGGCTTTTGGTCTCGGTATGCATTCGTTGAACCTTTCGATCGACCTTGATGAGGCTCTTCTAACTTCAACCTTGCAACCTCTAAGGAACCCACAGTATAGACCAGGCCGTCACGCTGTTTGGTCAGCCCAAGTCCGTAACTGGCTTCTTTAGAGCTCAAAGAGGCATCGAAAGCGAGGTCGAGGACTCTTTCACAATTATCCTGCAGTATGACGGGTCTCAAAAAGACCTTCTTGTCACTGTGAAGACTTCAGTCACCACGCCCATGTCGCAACAGTTGAAGCACTTCATCCGAGGCACCAAGGGATCTTGGCTTAAGGTAAGCACACTTCTGACCTCTTATCGGCAACGAGGCTCCTATTTACTTAACTATGCCTCTAGTTTCAACAAAGAAGCACATGCCCTCAAGAAGAGCAAATTGCAGAGGGCCGCAAGCCGTTGGAACCTGGCTTCGGCGAAGAGCCAGCGGAGGTGTACGGCACTTTGACCACGTACAAGGAGTTCAACAAGGACCAGAAGTTTGACGAGGCGACGAATAAGTTTGTCGGACGAGTCCCGACAATCGCAGGGCGGTGGCTGGGCATTTATGAGAACCTCGCAGATGCTATCAACGGTAAAGCCGAGTTGGAGGTTAAGGCGAAGCAGTCTCGAGATGCGATCAGAATTATCGAACTTGCAAGAGAGTCTCACAAGTCTGGAGCGACTGTTGCTTGGAAGTAGGGCTCTTCCCCTGCGGCTCTATATAGGGTGTACCATATCATCTTCTGTACGACACTCGGGTAGCTGTGGTAAGTTGGGATGGAGAACACTTCCTCGTACTATTATGGTATTGGTTTCTCAAAGAAAAGACAATGCTGCAGTGCCACCTAAGTATGACAACGTATTTCCTTTGTTGGAATTGAGATTGCCAGATATGCGAATGCCTCATGTGCAGCGATTAATGGCGTAAGAATTGACAAATGATCGGCCGCCTTGACTCCGGGGACCGGCCTCCGAGCTTCTCCGTGAAAGCTCAAAATGACGCACACCAGGCTGCATACTGCGGGCAGACACCAATCACAGAACCATACCGCGATTTAAGACGGCAGAATTCGGCCCCGGAGAGCCCACTTAAAGTCGAAGGCCATCACGTAACTGAAGCCGAGGGTGGCCAAAGTAGGAAATTGTAAGCACTCTGTGATCTTTTTTCTTCCACAGATCTGGGGTAATACGCGTTTACCCCGCGTTCGGCGGGGTACATGATCTATAGTCGATTGTCATGTAATGTGACCCTGGGCTACATGCGGGCATAATATCCACGGGGGCATCAAATTTGGAAAGCGAAATAAAGGTTTTGCTGGCTGGTTACTCGATCGGTCAAGTCGAACCACTTTGATTCCTGTGAACAAGATCGTATGTGGGCAGTAATCACCTCTCAACACAGTCATGATGGTCTTGGATCTGATGCTTGATCGGCTCAAGTTGCCTATCAAGCAGCTTTGTTGTTCATAAACCGATTCCTTAGTCCTGAAAGAGTATTTGTATCCCTCGGAGTTGGGAGGACGTATACGCTCTAAGGTTATATTTAACCTTACTTGCCTCGGGTACACAGACTTGCTAAATGCTAAGACCGTAGATCGAAACAAGCACTCACTTACGAGTGGTTTGTTGAAAAACTCAGACCTGAACTTGGTCTCACATCTGGCTAGTCTCTTCATCATGACTCCCGCATGGAAGCAGACATTCTGGCTGACTTACTTTCTTTTCTCGATCTTTGTATCTATGGTCTTTGCCAGCAAACAATGCGAGTCCTCTCGATATGAACACAAGCACCGTGTCTTTGTCCTCACGGATATGAGTAATGAACCAGACGACCAGATGAGCCTCGTCCGTTTCCTTACCTACGCAAATGAGTTGGACATCCAAGGCATTGCGGCGATAACTTCGACTTGGCTGCGGAACCGTACGGATGCCGATACTATTCAGGAGGTCATCCGAGGGTATGGGGAGGTGGTGGACAACCTCAACAGCAATGTACCTGCCGACGCTGTTTATCCCTCGGCCGAGGACCTCCTGGGCAAGGTATCCAGTGGCCACCCAGTCTACGGTCTTGCGTCCCTCAACCAGAACAACTTGAGTAGCGCAGCTGTCGCTCTTGTCCAAGCCGCAGACGAATCGAGTGACACCGATCCGCTGTGGGTGTCAGTCTGGGGCGGAGCAGCTGTTCTGGCTGAAACCCTCCAACACGTTTCGTCAACGCGCGATGTTGATGCTGTCAGCAAATTCGTTGACACTCTCCGAGTCTACTCGATTTCAGACCAAGATGACGCCGGACCTTGGGTTCGCGATCGGTTCCCCAACTTGTTCTACATTGTCTCTCTTCATGGCTGGAGCGAATACACGCAACCGACATGGATAGGCATCTCGGGAGAAGAGTATCGCCACTTTGATAAAGGCGGCCCAAACACGAAGATTGTCTCCAATGATTGGCTACAGAAGCACATCCGCATCGGACCTCTAGGTTCGCACTACCTCAACTGGACCTTCATCATGGAGGGCGACACCTCTGCCTTTTTATCCCTCGTCCAAAATGGACTTGGAGATATTGACAACCCTCAGTGGGGTGGTTGGGGCGGCCGATACTCGTTGCTAGACACATCTGCAGCCGATGGGGGCCGCAGGTTGTACAGCGATACTGCGGATTATGTTCGTGGCGCGAATGGGGAGGCGTTCTCAAGCAAGTACGCGACCATTTGGCGATGGAGAGAGGATTTTCAGCACGATTTTGCTTCCCGGATGCAGTGGACTGTCAACGGGAAATTTGGCGAAAATAACCACCAGCCGATCGCTGTTGTCAATGGCTCTTGTGGGCCGTTAAGTTTGGAAGTTGAGTACCAGTTTGGCGAAAGCCTGGTCTTTGATGCGGCCGAGAGCTGGGACCCAGATTCCGATATCCTGTCCTTTGAATGGTTCCATTATCGCGAAGCGACTGGCAGGGACTTGGAGGGTTTTACTATTCCCTTGGTCAGTCAGAATATGGACATCACAGACTTAGCTACAGATGGCAGCGTCGTGAGGATTGAGCCACTCAAGAATCAGGCAAGTCTTTATCTGTGTTATGGCATTTCGAAGTCTTTGATAACGAATGAGATTTGAGTCCAATGCTGACCTTGAATGTATAGACGATGCATCTCATACTCTCTGTTCGGGACAATAGAGATATGCCTTTAGTGACCTACAGAAGGATCATTCTGCAGCCCTCTTCGTAGACCACCCTCCGGTTAGACGAGAGATGGCCTATCTATGCAGCTCTAGTTACCTGGTCACATCATCTGAGCGCAATTTCACTCACTGAGAAAATGACCATGTAGCTTGGCAGCTGAAACAAAGAGCAAGACAATTCCTGAGCTTTTAAGTCCAAGTATGATATGCGTGCCGTGGCCTTGGAACCATCTTAACTTTGCCTTCGTGTTCACAGATTCGTATTCAGTGATTGTGCTAGCTATGTGGCTCCTGACTCAGTGGCCAAGCGCTGGCATTACTAGGTAGTGCTAATTGTTGGGCCGGACTGGTCATGGAGTAGGGGGCTAAGCCGAAGGGTCCCCCACTCAATCATCTTGGATGCTTCTGAAAGATCTTGCAGAATACACTCTTCTGCATACGCACATGAATTTTCATTCCACCTACCAAACGTAACTCTGATTGATAGCTGTCGCCCGATGCTTTCGTTCACGTAGTCGCAACGAAGAACTGTGTAATCTCACGGTAGAGACGCTGCGATGACAAAAGTCAAGCGTGGCCAACGCAAAAGAGCTTGGGCCCCTAAATCCAGAAACGGGTTCGCTGTGTGCAAGTCTGTTTTTCTTTCTGCCCCTTCCGGTACACTCAGTGCTCACAAGCTTACAGGAGTCAGTCGATGAGCATGACCTATGATTGCGGTGGTTGAAGATCTAACCTCTGTACTTATTCTAGAGCGAAGGGTCAAATGCGATGAAAACCTGCCCAGCTGCACATCTGAAGGCTATGCACAACTTCCAAATATCCCGGCCTAAACATAGCAGATCTCAATGCTGGGTTCAAATATCATCGTTCGTTTCCTAGCGACGCACATAATGTGGTGGTCCCAAAACACCTCGAAGTCCCCATCAGGCGAAATCCCAGCGCCCTCAACCCACTGGCGCTCAATGAACAGGAGGGGAGAGCGTACTAATTCTTCCAAAGTATTGACACCTTAACTCTTTCGAGCGCCTTCGGATGCGAGTTTTGGGGAAACTCGTTTTGCAGCTTGTCAACGCCGACAACGCCATCTTCCGCGCGACCGTTGCTTTGGGGCTTCTACTAGAGGACATGCACAACTGGCCGATCTCGTGGCCAGTGCCTCGAACAGCTCCGCCGACCGAACGGACGGCGATGGCTCTGCGGCATTACCAGATAGCGCTGCAGCAGCTTTTTGTCCCTCTTATTGTAAAGGATTCAGCAAATGTCATCTCCCTTGCGTCTGCAGGGGTATTCTCGTGTATTGAGGTGAGAATTCTGTCGCAATTGTTGATGAAGCATGTGTGATAGAATAATGCTAACATCTCTGCAGACACTGTGTGGCAATGCCCACAACGCCATGAAGTTGACCTCTTTAGAGACAAGCATCTTGACGCAGCTTGAAGTTCCCAGCTCATCCCCTGCAAACTCCGAAAGCCTTGCGCCGTTTGTATCCGTATTTGTCCGGCTGGACTCTTACATGAAGGGGGTTCGCAACGCGGATTCCCTAGTGTCTGATTCAGCTGGAAAGTCTCTGACAATCGAGCAGCTTCTCCAAACCGAGGATCACGTACAACCCAAGCCGCCCCCTTTCAGACACATGAGGCCATGTCCATCGGTATTCAGCAATCTCAGAGAAGCCAACAGACATCTCGAAACCTTGGAAAACCTCTGCCTTTTCGCAGTGGAGCAACAAGGGGGCCCACGGGATGTCCAAAGTGTGCAGACTCGGACTTCCTGCCAGAGCTTGTATCAGGAATGGCCAAAGGCCTTCAACGCCAGCTCCATCTCCACGGATGATGGAAATTCTCTCACGCTCCTTCATATCAGGCGACTGCACGTCTTTCTGACTCTTCATGGCCCAGAAGACACTGGCCATCAGTCTGACTGGGATTACTTTCTTCCAGAATTCATCGAGATGCTCACATATGCGGCGTCAGCAGTGGCCATGGTTCGTTTGAAGCATTCCGACGCATTGCTTCCAAGGAGAAGTGGCTCAGAGTGCACAACACGCAAGAATGGACCGATTATTGCACCTCGGAACATTTGGTCGATCTGCAGCAGTTCTTTGACTTCTATCTCAAGGACGAAGACAATGGGTGGCAACCTAATCCCCGCGTCCGCCTCGCTGTTCTTGATCCCGGATCCGAGGATACTCTGGATCGCGTCGTCGCAGATTGGCCAGTCCCGGGTCTCCAGTCGAAGGCTCTTTACCTGTATTCCAACAACTCCCTTAGCGAGTCCTCTCTATCCAACGAAGCCACCCTCAAATACAACAGTAGCTTGGCGTCCGGTGTTACGCTCGATTATCGGGTTCCCGAGACCATGGAGGTGACTGGGTACTCGAAGCTCCGTCTCTGGGTGTCCTCCCCTGATTTTACCGACATGGATATCTCCATCTCCGTCCAGAAGCTTTCCACCAACGGGACCGCATTTCCTAGCACCGGTAGCGAGAGTTCCAGCACGATCGGTCCAACTGATGCTCTCCCCGTCTCGCACCGTGAACTGGACATCAAGCGCTCCACGGATCTCGAACCGTTCTTACTGCACACCTCGGAGAGGCTTCTGTCGCCAGGCGAGATTGTGCCAGTGGACATCCCTCTTTAGCCCGTCGCTCTCAGGTTTCACGCCGGTGAGCTGCTCAGCTTGAACATTGCCCCGGCCTCCATCACCCCCGCCCAGGCCAATATCGGGTTTGGCACGGCAATCGTGCCTGTGCCTTCTACTGGAGGCACCTTCGAACCTGGACAGAATGCTTCGTTGATTGAGTTGGGAGGCGCTATGGACTCCAACCCGGCTTTTGTGAATGAGCAAAGGGTTGAGAAGCCTGTGAGCCGTAATAAGGGCATGCACTTCATCCATGTGGGCGGGAAGTATGACAGCTTTCTGTTGTTTCCAGTCAACAGCACTACCAAGGCGACGGAAAGTTGCTAGTAGTCTGGCAGATGCCTCTACCTTACGTCTTGAGTTGTGCCAACCAGGGAAATCAGTAACTCATAGAACAACCCGTTGTTCCCTTCTCAAGTACTTAGTACATGTAGCATATTTGGTAGTCTGCAAACGAGCTAGAAAGTTATCAAATACAAATACCATCGTTCCATAAACGCAATTGATATACGGTGAAAAATTAAGTGATAACGGCGGAGAAAGGAGACATTTCCAAAGACCTGACGTGGGAGATTGGGTCAAGTTGAGTTCACAGCCTTATGTTCCTCGTTTATATGTGCTTTCATTTGGAAGATTCGTGCCTCATCTATCTGAAATCTGGGAAACACAAAATCAAATATGTTTACGTACGAACATACAAATTCCCGCAATCTGCTATGCCACAATCAATTCATGAAGGTTTATGCTCCGTATCGAGTCATAGATTCGGGATGGATATGTCCGTAGATATCTTTCTCATAGAATTTCCCATACAACAGCAAGTAACTTCGAATTGCTGCAAATGCATATAGAACGTCTGGCTCCATCGGCGTTCACTCTTAAAAAGAGCTCCAGTGACAGAGACAGGGGTGCGATGCCATTCAATACGGCGCCTACCGTGATCTCTGGGTCGCGCCGCCATGTCCCGGTCCAGCATTGGTTAGCCCGACGGCCCCGATTCAAACCATGCACAGGCTTCCATGAGGTCCACTTCATATGGACTGGCGAGGGTTAGCCTTCCGCAAAGGAATTATAAAAGGCCGAAGGATATGCCCGATCGTCATGGCTGGTATACGGCGTACTTGAAAGAGTTGAATCTATTTTAACTTGGGGACCTTAATCAATACCCTTGAAAGATTCACAGGGGCCCGAATCCCGAAGTCACTCCGACCAGATCAAATGAGAGCTTGGCTACTTGTAAAGAGACGATGAGGCACTGCGAACAGAGAACTGCAACTAGACTCAAGAGCGATGCTCTACGTTAATAGATAAAGTGGCTATTACCCACACTTTGGCTGGGTACCTAGCTCGAGTGTTGAAGAGATTGAGCCATGGGGGACGACCAGAGTAGTCATCAGTGGCAAGCCACTCAGAAACTCCTGAAGAAGACCCTGGCTTCAAACCAACGCGTGTTAGTGAAGTGATATGTCCATGTCATGACTGGCACCATTTCGCAGTCATACACTGACGGAACATGGATTTCGAAGGTCCCGAGCCTACTCGCTTCACGAATGAACGACACGCTTGAGTCGGGCATACTCGCCAGTTTTGGATCATTCCCTCACCACTGCCATGACACGCCCACTTACCAAGCCGTTGAGAGCACGCCGCCAAGTAACTAGGCTCCTATTTTTCCACGAAACTAGCAGATGAAGCTCATTATTTATACTTTTTTACCACATACTTTTTTTTCTACCTCTTCATGGCGAGATGAGCTCTGATCCCGGGATCCCTGAGTCACCTAAGTCTGGGATGGACTCAAATATATGTCAAGTGTCTCTCCTGACAGCCTGCCAACCCTTGCGCCTCTACCCAAAAGCTGACCTGGAACACTGGCCAGATGCCCGGGAGCGGAGGATGGGGCGTATTTCTACCCATCTACATGGCTTGTGCTGCGATGACGCTAACCATGGCTTACTATAGTGCGTCACGAACCTCAAGGGTGGCTGCAAGACCTACTACTGGACGACCGACCTTCCCTATTACAGCGTAAGTTTACAATATTGCACCCTTCAACATGGTATGGGGCATGTACAAAGTCAAGTTGCTATTCAGTGGGCCTAGATCGCTCTTCTCATTTGGGTCGTACATAGCTGGAACATCCTATTTGTATCACAACTGGCTTGGTCTGTTTAAAGTGCTTTCCCCTCATGACTTACGCGACGTGGCAAACATTCGACTGGTATCCTCCTCGGTGGAACTTCAGACCTGAACGTTTTACGCCTCGACAAGTGATGAACATCCGCGTGCAAACGCAAATCTAGATGAATCGTGGGCAGAGGTCAACGATCACATCAACCTTGATTAGGTCCAAAGCTGGATTAACGGATACTTTCAAAGCTATACAATTATCTCAACCTTCCTATGTCTGAAACAAGTGAGACCTCACTCCTTCACAAGTTATGTTTGTGGGCTTGCGATCGAGGTGGTTCCTTCATCATGCAGCTTGGGCCATAGCAAGAACTCCAGCCCACGTCTCCTTCACAGTAGCTGAGATCTGACTTGCCGGAAGTGAAAAGCCGTAGGTTCCTCTGTCTCTAAGCTCAATGGTGTACGTGTACTTGGACTTGGCAACGCCGTGAACATAGTCGGTGCTATCGCCTGTGGTCGCGTACAGAGCACGGCAAGCATTGCCAATAGTGTAGCTGGTGCCGGAAACGCCACGAATAGCGGTCGCACCGCGCTGGGCCATGCTTTGTAGCGCAGCGTCATCGGGAGCGACGTAGTTGCAGTCATACCCATAAGCTTTATTTAGCCATTCGAGTCAGAACTGCGCTCTCACATCATCAATCGAGACGATGAACTTACGCCAAAGGATGTACTGTCCGTAGGAGTGGACATCGAGGTATAGTGTGATACCCCTGCTAGCAGACAGAGAGTCGATCTGCGCCTTGAGGCCCTTGATTTCTGGGGTATCGGCGGCGGCAGCACCCTTGTAAGTCTCGGCGCAGGGGCTCGTCGAAGCACCTCCGGTCAGCTCCCACTTATACGGCCAGTTACGGTTGGGGTCGCGACCAACGCAGGAACTGCCGGTGTTGGTCTGGCGATTTTTGCGCCAGAGACGGTCAGTGGACTGAGTGTAAACAAAGCCTGGAAGAATGATCAGAAGGAGTTTGTTCTTCGTTTACAGGGGAGGTTCGCCAGGAGCGCTCACCATCTGGGTTCACCACAGGAGTGATGTACCAGTCAAACTTATCAACCACGGCCTTTATGGCAGAGTCTGTTGCGTACTTGGTCAAAAGTTGCCAAGCCACATACTCCGTAGTCTAACATGATGTGTTGATTAGGACCACGCAGGTTGCAGTGAATGTATGTGGATGTTGTGGCTACCACTCACCATCGTGCTGATCCACTCGCGAGCGTGAACGGTGCCGTGGAGAACAACAGCCGGCTTGGACCCTTTTCCGCCGCTTCCCCAGATATGAATACCGGTGAGCGCTCGGCCTTGGAAAGATGAGCCCGCGGTAGTGACTTCAGATTGGCTTGGGAAGCTGCTCTGGAGGTCTCTCAGGAAAGTGAGATGGTCGGCATAACTGTGATAAGCAGTGAACCAGGTTTCGCTGGGGACTGCGGGATCAATGAGAATGAGACGGTATCAATTCGTAATGACGGTACGTGGACTCACCAGCATACACCGTTGCCACATCTTCATCCGCAAAAGCAGCGCCGACATCCTCGAGGAGAATCGTGGTATTCACAACCAGCTGGCTGATGGCATCGACATTGCTGGGAGATACGACGATATCGAGCTGTTCTTTGGCGCCGGGGTTCAATACAGTTGCAGCTAACTCATTAATTTGGTCGGCCAAATCCTCAGAGCCCTCGGGGATAGTGATGCGAAGACCCTTGAAGCCAGTATAGTCGACCTTCGCAGATTTCGGAACAGTCGCGCCCAAGGCCACAGGGATCAGGGCAACGGCTGAGATTAGCGACGCCTTCATGGTGAATGATTTGCAAATAGTGGTGAGGCGATGAGAAGCTTGGCATCGACAATTCGGAACTTGGCCAAGTATACGAAGCTGAGAGCCTCATCTTATAACTTGAGAAGCAAGGACGATGAACGGCTCGTGAACGTCGCTTAAACACCCGCAGCTTCCCCTCCTCTAGCAGACTATGATATGCCTCGCAGGTCAGTGGCATGGCAACATAAAAAGGGGAGGTGATAGCCTCACTAGGGAAGGACGTATTGAGCTGGTGTTACATCGACAGCTGCCAAGGCGGAATATGTCATGGCTTGGCACAGCGCCTTCCCGGATGAAGAAGTTGCAAGATGTCTTGGTATGGGAAACGACCCGTGATTAGGTAGCTATGCTCAAGCATTGCAGTTGCCATAGCCGCGGAGCTCAGGTGGACGGGAATTGACCATGAGCAAGAAGGTGGCACCATGGTATTTGAGTAAGAAAATAGCGACTTGCAAGAGACGGCGGGCGCCAACCTACACTCTTTCTTCGAGACATGTCCAGAGCCAACATGTTGCGTGTACCTTCCTAGTCATGCTGCTGAACCTGATACCATTCCATGCTCGCGTGGCAGGATAGTCTTTTAGTGAATATCACTTTGAAGGACCACAGAGAGGCTATGTGAAAGTAGATAGGCTTACTGCACGTCTAGCTCAGAAAGTCTATTAAATTTGTTCTGGGCGCATGGAGTCTACATATAATAAGAAATGAAATAAATCCAAATACTCGACCTCCTCTTCAAAGATACTTGAAACGTCGAGCAACAAGAAGAGACAGCAGAGCGAAGGCAATTATGCTGCCTAGGATTCCAAAGAAAGCGTTAAGGTTGTCAGTATCCTTCCAAGGGACCTTGACGTTCATGCCGAAAAGACCACAGACAACATTGAGAGGAACAATAACGGTGGCGATGACCGTCACCCGGCTCAAAAAGTCGTTCGTCCGGTTGCCCATGTCAATGTTGTCAATCGAGAGCTGCGCCAGGTAGTTGCTGTGCGATCGAGACAGCATGGTATCGAAGTGGACAAGGCTGTGCATCATCGTCACCGCGTGATCTTGGATATCGCCAAGGTAAAGGGCAATGTCCATGTGTGGCGTCACATCGAAATCTTCAGTGCATCTCTTGGTGAAAGCGCGAAGCACGTCCGCCTTCCCGCCGAGCAGACGCATAAGACTCATCACATTCTTTCGGGTGTATCCGATCTTCCGAAGAAAGGCTTGATTGTCATCCACTCTCGTGATGAACACCTGGTCCTCGATCGCATCGGCCTCGCGTTCGATCTCATTGATCGCTGGTCCAAAAGAGTCGACGATATCGTCGCTGCGCTGGTGTCAGATGAGGTTCATTACAAGAAGAAACTTCCTCGAGGGACATCTGAGGCGGCTTTGACTTACATCAACGCGTAGCAGATCCAGTCGCTACTGAGAGAAACTTGCTCCTTTAATTGCGAAATCCGGAATCGAACCCTCGATGCATGCGAGTTTGCAGTGAAGCTGAAGCTGAGTATTCCCTCTCTAAAGACTACCGCATAAACATTAAACGGATGGTAATCTTTCTCATTGTCTTCCTCAACGACGATGAACGACCTGAAGCAGGCAAAGTAGTACAGCGGGAAGAGTTCAATCTTTTCGCGACTTTCTTGGTGGATGATATCCTCGATGGTAAGTGGATGGATCCCAAAGGCTTTACAAATCGTCCAGACCTCGCTGCCAGTCGGGTTGTTCATGTTAAGCCACCAGACACCATCGGCCTCTGCCTCGGGCATCTCAAACAAGGACCTGATGCTCTCGCCTGGGAGGACGAGGTCGCCGAATTCCGCCGCATGGATAGTTGACTCCAAGGCCGAGGAAAAGTAGTTGAAGCGGCTTTGTTCAATGTGCTGGCTGGCCCTCGGGAGCGGTTGTTGGGGTGCTGTCGTCTCCTTCTCTCCCGCGATGGAAGCTGCCTGAGATGCAACATCGATAAAGTCTCCATCAGAGGTAAACATGCGCGTAGCGGTCGGGATGGAACTATCCGGGAGATTGACAAACTCGGAACTGCCAAACTGGTCGCGATTCTCAGCGTCGATCAAAGTCTCCAAATAGTCAAAGTCGATGTGGAGGCCATCCTTTTGGCTGTTGTCGAGCTTGGTGTCCTCGGTCTCGGGAGATGAGTTGGGTTTCGGCACGGACAAAGAGGGTTCGTGACCACCGTTTTCAAGAGTCTTGCGGCTGTGGAAGCTACGACTGGCGCTGTTGGGATATTGTTGAGATACTCGAAGGCCATAGTCGTCGCTACTCTCAGCCTCGGCCTGAGGTCTGCGCGAAGAGGCCCTCGGATCATGCGCTTCGACATCCTGTCCTCTGCGGCGCGCATTGGCAAATGCCTTGACGGAATTGGGCGGCGACGCCGTGCGCCTCGACTCCATGGTAGGACGTCTGCTCAGAGGCCGCATGGTTGGGGATTCGAAGATGGCCATGTTTGCTAAGTCGCGGGCCGGCCCTCGTTCGGGTTCTCTTCCTCGAGGACTCGAGATGCTTTCCACATGCCGGGAGCCTCCTTTGGGACTCAACAGGGTTGCATCTTCGAGTCCCTGGATGGACCTGTTGTCTTCCTTCTGCGACATGACGTTATGTTCTCCCTTCTTGGATGTGATGGAAGGTCGAAGAGGTTCTAGTGCCGCGCCGAGGGTATGAATCTTGTCCAATGTGTTCCTTCACCGTACGTTCGAGTGGTGTGCTCGTAGGTATCGCTCCTTCGTACGCTTTGCCATATCCTGGCAGATGTTGGGATCAGAGTAATAAGGTGATCGAACTGACTTGTGGTCGTGAGATCTGGAGAAAGCGGTCACCATCCCAATAGTTTGAGGAAAAGTCCGTGATCAGTGCAGCGCTGTGCTGTGACGATGTTAAAGGAATTTGGGAGTCGGAGAATGAAAAAGCCACCGAAAGCACCGATTCAATGACGATGCGTGTTTGAAGATGGGATGAGGACAAGGACGGGTAATATGAAGATTTTTGAGACCTACTCGGCTACTTTAGGTAGAGAAACTAAGAGAGTGCCCGGCGCCCAACCGAGCAAACAGTTCCTCGAGCGACATCACGGGCACCGCCTCACACAGGCGCAGTCATAACACAACTTTCCCCATGGGGCTGCCTCTTTTTCCTGTGCGGTATTAATGTCCAGCTTTCACTGCCGGATGAACTAGCTTATCTGCATGAGAAAACCGAAAGCTATATCATGCACACTCGAAAGCCGCAAGTCTCGGGAATTTTGCGATTCTTCGAGAAAAATAGGAATAGTAATTAATCTGTTGCCGTCATAGCCGCTCTCGCATGCGACGTAGAACTCATCCAAAGTTTTTGACGCAGGCCTCCGCGCCACACAGCCCCAAACCTCCCAAGCTCGATTAGGAACAGACATCAAATGCCTCATACTGGATTGGGCACGAGCGGGCGCTTCGGCCCCCGGGAGCGTGGAATAGAGATTGTCGCATGGAATATTCTCTCTCAGTTTGCAAGAGCAAAGGCCGCGCTACCGATGCACCCCGTGATCAGGTGCTGATGCACATCAGTGAATTGTCGCGCAAGCGCGTCTGGGCACCATAGTCAACACGTCGCGATCGTGAAGATCTGAATGAGCGGTCACTTATTGGGACAAGGGATCTAGAGCTTAGACTCGACTTACACACCCAGACTGGTGGGTGGGAACACGCGACCGATTCTGCAGTAAGACGACGGATTGGTGTCTAGCTCGAGGCCGGACTGAGAGCTGCCGGGAAACTACGACTCATCGCCCCTCATAATAAGGCTTGCTAAGTTTGTTCCTCGGCCACCTCTGAGTCTGAAGCAGTGAACCACACGGACGGTGACATCTTTTCTGTATCGGCTCCGAAGAAGGTGTTGCCGAGCTTAGTCTCGTTCAGACAAGTGCTGCTTGACAGGGACTCGAGCTCTCACGCAGCGTCACACTACTAAATAGGCTCAGGTACTGGAGTGTCTTCAGTGGTCAATGCTGGACGCCCGACGCGAAGCGCTGCATACCGTCATCAAGGGGAGGCGACAACGAGGGAGGAATTGGAACAGACAAGAGACAAAATTGATACTGTAAATAGCCGACTTGTTTGGGACATTGAATCTCTTCTACTAAGTGAAAGTCTTTGGCTAATGACAGCAAAATGCAGCATACTTTGCAAACTCCTCGTCTGCCAGGAGTTGCTCCATCTCGTCAGCGAATAAGCTAACAAGCAACTCGATACCCCCGTGACTCTTCATCGGCAATACCATACAAAGCCTAAAATTCGCATTAAAGGCATCCATCAAGGGTCGCAGCGACTCCGGCTTGCCATCATTGCCAAACACATGGCCGCCAAAGTTGATCTTGTCCAACGGCAGCAGCAACACTGACGTGATCATGACATCAAAACCGTCAAGTCGAGTGAATGCATGATTTAGCTTCGTGTAATCCGGAACTTCGCGCATGAGGGTGAACGCATCCTTCACAAGGCCTGGATTCACCTTGGCCGCCTGTGCCCGAATTCGTAGAGCGACATCGCGTAAGCTTGTAGTCGGCGACGCGAGCTCAACCACCCGCATCGGAACTTTGTTCACAATAACAAGATTCCCAGCATACGATGACGGAAGCTCTGGGTCAAAATCCGTGCGACCGTCGACGGGAGATTCTAAGTATGACATTTCGTCCGCCGGCGCTGGCTGGCCGGATGCGATGGCCGCTTTGTATCGCGCTTTCATGAGAGCGCGCCAGAAAAGCGCCAGAAGGGCATCATTGGCCGACAGCCCCGTCCCGTCATGACTGTCATCTAAAACATACTTCTTCAAGTTGTTGAAGTTGTCCGGGGAGATGTAGAAAATGCTAGACTCCATAGTCCGAAGCGGGGCCGTAGGTGGGGCCGTAACAGTAGCCGCTTCCTCCTCCGCATCCGGCGGTTGGAAGCCGAGGAAGCCCCATGTATCGCGTGGGATCTCGGCAACAGGCTTGGCAGGTGTCTTACTCCACAGTCGCTCCAGAAGCGTGCGATCGAAACTCTCCGGGGCCAGCCAATTGCATACGTTGACGCCCGGCTGAGCCAGGTTTCTGCAGTGTTCTGACCACGCACGCATCGCCGTGACCATACCAGTCGCGTCGCTAGCGGAATGGTGGAATCCCGTCGCGAGAATGCATCCCCCATTGACGAAGTTTGCTTGCGCCAAGAAAACGTCGGCACCGCCCGTCAAGTCTGGCACGAATGGGGCAGCTAGGACGAGCTCGTCGTCGAAAGCAGAGAACTCGAATCCTGCATCGCGAAGATCCTCATAGTCAGGCAGTACCTGAGAGAGGTCCTTGAAGGCAAGCTGTCGGGGAGTTTCTTCTGTGGTGCTTGGACTGTCTCGGTCATAAGACATTACAATATGCCCTGGTCTCCATCCGATATCATGCTCCTTGCGTGGGTAAATTCGACCATTGAGGAAAGGAAATTGCAGCAAGGTTGAGTGAAGACCAGCCTGGAGGTGTGAAAATGCCTGTTTGAAGCTGATGCCCGGTTCCAGAGGTAGATAGACAATGAACTTGATGTAAACTCTTGGTGGAATGAGATCGAATACGCTGAGTTGTGTAGTGACCCCATCCAAGCTCTCCTTCTCTGCGCTAGTCTCGGCATGGATGACCGTCTTAGTGTATGTGTTGGTAGCCATGATAATTGAACTTTTCTGTGTATGTCACGAAATGAAGATTTGCGTTCTCTCATGAACCACAATTCATCTCAATGGCATCACTATGAGCTTATGGTGCAGCATGGTACTTGGCTTACCTACGTCCGAGCCTGTGTACCATTACCTCAGCAAGAATTAAAAAGGTCTTAAAAAAGTCGGGGCTGACCAAGTCCGTCCCGGAACAGCCCAATGGGGAAGTCAAGCTTGAACTCAATTTGGGCTACTGACTGAGAATTTCGGGCTCAGTCGGATCAGGTAGACTATTTTGGAACTAAGTACCTACTGGCGAAGGTTGCAGACTTTTGTGCAAATGTTTGTTGTAGATAGTATCGGACTGAAGATCATCTGCTACAGCTTAGGAGATGTTTTCAGTCGTGATGGACACATGAAGGAGCACAAACATGGGGTGTAAATTGGATTAGAATGATACCAGAGGGAACGAGACGAGACCTGCTCAACCTCATGCCTCCTAACTAGCGGGCCACTGTGTCCTCCGCACTGCTCTAGCATAGAAATTCAATGGCCTAATGACAATGAACTCAGGATCGTACACCACGGCTTCAGTAGACGCATCCTCAAAGTGATAGCGGTAAACCAACTTTGCCATGACACTCTTCACTTCAAGAAGTGCGAGGTTGTACCCCACACACCCCCTGGTCCCTGCCGCGAATGGAGTATAGGACATCTTGTGCCGGCCCTTTACCTCCTCACTGTCCCATCGATCGGGGTCAAAACGTGTCGGATTATCCCAATGCGCTGGGTTCTTATGTAAAGAAGGGAAAGTTGGAATAATGACGGAGCCTTTGGGTAGGAAGTACCCGCCAGGAAGTACGATATCTTGCTTTGCGTTTCTCGCCGTTTGGAAAGACGGATTGTGCATCCGCTGCGTCTCCTTCACGAATTTGTCGAGGAACGGCATCTCAGTCAGCTCATCATAGCTCCACTCTTTTCTAGGAGAAGCCCCATAGTTAACAAGTTCCTCGAGCAGACGCTGCTGATTTCCGGGATATTTGACCAAAGCATAGATGAGCCAGGCCAGGAGCGAAGAGGTCGTCACAAAGCCAGCTCCGATCATGATGACGCAATTACTCAGCATGATCTCTTCGGGCAACTTCTCCCCCTTCTCGTCGGTGGCCCGGCGAAGGTAGTCAGCGACGCTGGTAGCGCGTAGTGCAGCGTCTTTCATCGGCAGATCTCCGCTGAACTTGACTGAATCCTCAATGCCCTTAGCAACGCCATCCCACAAGAGTTGTCTGACTAGTTTGAGTCTCTTTGGCGTCCCGAATGGTAGGTATCCATACCAACTTCCACGCAAAGAGGTCTTCTTCATGAGCGAAAGATACTCGCCGAGAAGCCGAATGGTCTCATGAGGCTTTATGTCAATCGAGTCAAAGTGACCCAGGTCCATGCCAAGAATGACCTTCCAGATGATCTCTCCAGCCATCTTGAATGTGTAATGATAAACATTGAATGCAAGTTCCTTCTCGTCGAGCTCATCAAAAACGTTGAATGATCTCTCGACGCAAGCTAGAACAGTTGGTGTGTAGTGGCGTACTGCCTTTGGCGTTAAGCTGGGCGGAATAAACTTGTGCGCTAATTTGAATGCTGGCGCACCACTGTCGCAAGTAAAGAGCGACTCGTTATTTCTCATGTAGTAAAGAGGGTGGCCGGGATCTGAGGTAGTCTTGGTGAAGTATTCCCCTTCGCGGAGAACTTCGCGAGAGACATTGGGATCATTGGTGAGATATGTAACCGTGCCCATATTGACGGTCTTGATAACGGGCCCATACCGGTTGAAGAGGCGATCATAGTTCCCGAGTGGATCTGGGTAGAGTTCGTAACGGTTGCCAACGTATGGCAATGGCTCTGGTCCCAACGGCTCTCTGACGATTTCGCCGTTCACCCTGACTTGTACTGGACCATCACTTCTCTCAACTTCATCGATAGAAGTGAGGACATCTTTGCGATGGTAGAAACAGATAGCTTCACAACAGTTAGTGCCCAAACTGTTGTGGTACATGACATTCACTGTCAGGTTGAAGACTCACAATCGGAATCAGAGACTGAGAAAATGCGCGCAATACCAGATCTGAGTTCTTGCATGCTTTTGATATTCGGCATATTCAAGGTCTGGCATCGCTCATAGGAGCCATGGCCAATGGTAAATTGCTGCTGGAACATTGCGGAGAGCTTCAGTCGAATCCTGCAGGCGTGGTTGGAGATGGCAGGTATACACGACGTGGTTCCCTGCAAAGCAATGAGACCGACAATCATAGGGTGATTTGAGAAACAGTAAATCTTTCTATGCTATTCGAGAACGTCACGGGCTCGAAGCCTGTCAATACACACAGTACCGAAGCTGTCGAGACTTCCATTCCCATTGTCGGCCCTTCCGCCCCCCCCCCCCTCTTCTAACTGGGGTACCCCAGTGAATATCGAAAAGACAGATCCAGAAAGAGATGCCCGAGACCAATTTGGACCTATTCACATTGACAAATCCCCGGACGTATCCCTGCTTGGGTGGTCCCGATCCCGATTTGGGCAGTTTTCACCATTTTTGGCGACAGCCGAAAACAATTATCGGTGGGAGCTCAAGGGACCAAAGTTGAGAGTTGGTGAGTTTTGCAGCAAATGGCCCAGCTGAGGGACTAGTATTGAGCAAACTTGACCTAATTTACTCCATGGAACTATTGACACTGTAGCCCATCATGCAAAGATTCGGTCGGTCAGATTTGTCCAAACATCACGAACTTGATGACTTATGGGTGTCAATCCGGGGTAAAGGTAAGCAAAATTTTGAACATCCACTATTATCGGAGCTGATTTTGGATCATCCAGTGTACGACGTCACCAAATATGCCGATGATCATCCTGGGGGCATCGAAGTCTTGAAGGACGTTGCGGGATATGACGGCACTGAAAGCTTCGAATATGTAGGCCACTCAGAAGATGCATACCGGACGCTGGAAGAGTTCCAAATTGGGTTGCTTGTCGACCATGTAAGTCCACAAGAGCGGAATGGGAAGGCGCCTATCACTGCTGACAAGTCTGCCTTGTAGGAAGATGGCAATGACCTCGGTCAAACAGCCACAGTCTGGGATGCCCAACGGGTTCAGATTGAAAGGCCTCCAAACTCGAAGCCCATTTTGATTTTAACAGCGACGGCAGCGATTTCTGGATTGTTTGTGATTGGAAAAGCAGGTCACTGGCTACCAGGAAACAAGGACGCTTCGTATAGAGAAGGTGGTATCTTGCATGAAGGGCATGATTTTTCCGCTTGGACTGGGCTATGGTTAGGGATAGCACTTACGACGATGATAGGGGTAAGTGGTTGTCTTTACATGTACACGAGATTCACGGAGACCTTGGAGTACTACAAGGAAATCTGGGAGTATCCTTCATACTCCGGCTGCAAAGTCAATCGAGCGGGTATTTGAGGGGAAGACTAGCATTCATATCAAGGTTAGATATTGAAACATCTCCCACCACTGACGGATTACAAATGACTCGTAGGAATTTGGCGCCAACTAATGACCCTAGCTACAAAGACCTGGATACCCTCCACCAGAACTCAGCTTACGCGAAGTCAGCGCACCAATCTCGCGGAAGAAAACTTGAAGATGCACACTTATTTTCTTGGGTTAAGCTTGGTGGGCTACGACTCTTTGTGGGGGCGAATGATTCGCTGCGGTGTAGCGAGAGAGATCGGGAAGGTGAAGCAGACGGGAATATTCCCCAACGGCGACATGCTTCGAACCAATTTCACCGGCTTCCAGATGTTTGACAAGCTGCTCATTCCAGCAGTCATCTTTTACAACAACATTCTTAGCAATGGCCTACGTGCAGACCGTATGCTGCTGGTCAGCCTTTTTACCACTATGCAGACAATGTCGCATTGTATGCTTGTCTTGGGTTGGAGCCGGGGCAAAAGATGGCCCTGGACGAACATGTAAGTGCCAAGAGATGATCGTACCCAGTCGCATGTATTCATGCTAACCTTTCTGTGTGCAAGTGAGCACGTATTTTGGGGAGTCTTCAACCAGGCGTGGGGTGCCGCGGCTGTCTATCCTCTTTACTGCTTCGCCCATGTCCAAAGGTTCTTGGAGGAGGAGAAAGACCAACCAAAAGACCACGAGATTGGTCCTTCAAAACCGGAAGAAGCCTTTGCTCTAGTACCAACCGCGATTTTGGGAGCAATTACACCCGCGATGCTTGTGTTTCCAGCATTTACTACAACCTGTTTATCAAACCAAAGACAAGGACTGATAGCTTTATATCGCTTCACTCCACTCGCACTCACATTTGTCCATCCTTTATTCGTCTGGATTCAGAGCAAAATTTCACGGTCTCCCCACTTGAAAGTTAAACAACCCACATCGAAGAACTTTGTCGCAGCATCTTTGCTCATTTCGGGGTCTACTGCCGCGGTGGGGCATGTGTGGGCGTTGGCATGTTCAGAACACGGGATGCGTCGGACATTCGTGCCCGCTGCCTCCATCAACGTAGCATCCCCTTCTGTCATTGCTGATGGTGCTCGAGATTTTCTCCAACGGGATATCTTCATTATCACGGCAGCTTTGGTTCCGATGACTGATCTTATCCTCAGATCATCTCGCTCATCCAAAAGGCTTCGCAAGCAGTATAAGTGGTTCCGAATTCTGGAAGACTCTTTCTTAGTGAGAATGACTATTCTTACTCTTGCAAGCGGCTTATTATCACCAGGCGCGGTTCTAGCTGCTGCCTTGGCGATGAGAGCTTACGAAACATAGCGGCTGGATTTATCGACGTTCCGTCACATCTACTTCAATATGTTACAATCGGTTAGTTGGTGGTAGTAGAGAGAGTCTATGAGCTTTGCTACAGTCAATGGGTCGTTTGCAAAAGACAATAAACTAAGGCAGATGAGGTCATATTATTTCTGAAAGCAAGCTGTTTCTCTGCGAGTCTTTGTATATCATTCCTGTTCGACGGATCACGTTGATGTGGCATGGATGCAAGAGGATGTCGATCACTATGCGCCTTTCTTCCATGAACTCAGTGCCCTACTTTTTCGTCGTGAACTTGCTTTTCCCTTCAATATCTACTGCCAACTTGGACAGAGGTGAAGGGCTCAATAACTCAAACACTGATACATCGCTCTGCACATCACGGAAGATGCGATTCCGAAGCTCAACGGCCTTCAATGAATCAACTAGGTGGTATGTCAGCATGATCGGTAATCTCTACCGGATTGAAATTTGATAGGCCTGTGATAGCATACCTCCAAAGTCATAGAAAGCTTTTTCCGTGTCAATGTCTGTTGTTGCTATGTCCATGATCTGTGCTGCGTAGCCTCGCAGGACTTCTTCCACAATACTCACCGCATCTTGAGTATTCTCCGCTTGAGCAAGCCGTTCGGCGGGAGTTTCCTGTTTGCCGAGAGAATCTGTGCCATCCATCAAAGTATGACTGACTCGGTGGCTGAACTTTGGGTCCTTAGTCCATCCTGCCGATGAAGGACTAACGGGCATTGAACTACCAAGGCCGAGAACTATTTGTGGCTCAATGAGTTTGCCGTCTGCTGTCCGACCTCGCATGGCAGCTTTAAGGACGGCATCAAGCTCTGACTGGGTCGTCTGTAAACCATCCCACCGATGCTCGTACATCTGGAAATAGGCATCCATATCAAAATCACCCGTGAAGTGGGCCGAGTCGGTGACAAGTCCGACATCAATTGCAGTTGCGGCGAGGCCCTGGCTTCGGTGGAAATGAGCAAATGCGTCTTCGAATGTGTTCCCTGCGGCATAGTTCGATTGCGCGGCGTTTCCAATGACGCAAGTGATTGAGGACAAGAGAATGAAGAAGTCCACGTCTCGGGGAGTGGACTCATGAAGGTTCATTGTCCCCTGGATCTTGGGCCGAGTTGACCTTTGCCATTGATCGTATGTCATATTCTCAAAGATTGCGTCCTGGTAAGCTGTTGTTAGCACAGTGCTTTCGAACCAATATGTGACCTCTCCGTCAGAATAACTTACTTCAAGCACCATTGCACACTGGATCACGCCTCGAATGCGCCGCCCTTGCCCCTGAAGATGTCGAACTACCTCATCAACTTGAGATGAAATTGACACGTCACACTTTAATGCATCAATGGCCAGGCCACGTTGACGGAAGCAATCTAGGTCGGCTGAATTGTTCTTTCCTCCTGACCGAGAGAGAAACACGACGTGTCCAGCACCATGATCAAACATCATATTCGCAATCTTGAGGCCTAGTGCACCAAGACCTCCCGCGAGGATATAAGTGCCATGGTTGTCTAATTGTAGCTCAGGCAATTTGGCATGACGCAGTAGAACTTGGGCGTGGGTGTCAAACTTTAGGATTATGTCGCTAGGTGCTTCGCCACCATCAATCCGTGACACGATGTCATCAACATCAGAAACCGATTTGACGGATCGAGGATCCGGCGGAATGAGGTCTTCAGTCTCAAGGAGTTCACAAGTCTCGTCAAAGAGGCGTTTGGCAAGCTTCGGCTTTGATTTGAAGAGGTGAGACACGTCCAAGCTCACGAAGGTGGCGTTGTGGCGCGAAGCAACCAGGCTGAGAGCGATTCCAGATGCTCCGGGCTCCATTGAGATGAAAGTCCCGAAGTCGCAGAGACATTCGATCCAATTAGGGTCTATCTCTCCAGGGTGACAGTTGAGTATAACATCCACTCCCCGATTCTGAGTCTGACGAAGGATCTCGGCCACGCAAGAATCACAGTCGTCATCATGAACGTGACCCTGGTCAACTCCCATCTCCGTTGCAGCGAGATCTGTTGCGTTGGAAATCTTCACAGCAACAAAAACTTCTGCTCCTATTCCTTGTGCTCGTCGGATCGCTGCTCTGCTGAATGGGGAGTCGGCGCCACGTATAAGAACAGTCATGCCACTTTCGAGTCTCGCGGTCTGTATTAACGCGAAACCCGTAGCAAAGAACGAGTAGTACGTTGTCAAAACTTCTTCGGGCGGTAGACTTGAAGATATTGATCGAACCAACGACTCGGGAACGTGAACGCTAGTCCTGCATGGCCCTGAATGAATGGCGATGACGCGTTGTCCCACTTTCGTAGTCATCTCCAAAGATGGCGTCGCGGATACTGTTCCAACAATTGCAAAGCAAACAGTATTGCCAGGGGTACCTTCAGACACTGGTGTGGCCCGCGCGAGCGCGAGCTCAACCGTAATCTCAACATCGCCGTCGAGAAGAGGCGTAGGAGACTCTGACTCATTAACCCAAACAGACTCGCTGCCTTCTCGGATCAGCGTCAAATTCTTTCTGCCGTTTAAAGTCCCCTTCTCCGACCCGAGAATTCTTTCTGAATTTCGCAAATCTGCGTCCATGCTTTCATCTTCGACGAACCTCGGCACAAACACTCTACCATCGAATTCCGCGTATTCCATGTCATGCCGGGCAGAGCCCTCTTGTGTAGAGTCACACCAGATATTAGAAATGACACTAGCAGTGTTGCTCGCGCTTAGGTTACTGGCTCTGGACAAATCAAGATGTTGCAACTTGACTTGAGAATACTCTGTACGCATGACCCTGAGTAGGCCTTGAGTTGGTGCGAACTCCAGCCCCTCTTTCCAACACTGCATGAGACCACCGCGAGTGATCCAGAGTATTTGGGAGGCATTGGAAACCAGACGCTTGAACGTGTCAAAGCTCTGCGCGTCCCAGTCGTATACAAGCGGTGAATCGACCTCTAGTAGAGAAATGATGTATTTTCCTTTCAAACGATCCACGTCTGACATTGATGCCAAGGTAACTTTCCCGCCGAACAACTTCAACTTCTCAGTCAGAATGTCCACAAGATGCTTGGTTGCTGGAGGGGGATCTGGCCTGTGCAGCAGGAAGACTTCAGACGGTAAAGAGTCAAGTGACGAAAAAGTTGACTTGTTTACGACAACGAGTGTCATTTTGCTGGTTGTATCCGACAGGAAGATTCTCGGCTCCATTTTTGCTATGAGGACCATCGACTCATCATCGTGACTTAGTGTTGAGCTGAGGTGATCCAAACCCGCCAGGCAGAGATACCCCGTCGATCGTATGAGATCTCGCAGTGCGGGTAATGTCGAGCGGCCAAAGGAGACATAGTCATGATGATTTGACCTTATGCTCACAATGAAGTCAAAAGACTCACTCGAGAATGGAGGTTGCTCATGGGACATCGGGTTCCAAGTCCGAATCTCTGATAGTCCATCTCTGGTGGGAGACAATTCTCCGGCAAGACTGTCAGCCGCCTCCGAAGTCGTTACGATGTGAAGTTTCCTCTCTTTTCTGCGTGTGACTCTCTCAAAGATATCGAGTACAGCTTTTAGGAAATGACGAGAATCATCCGAGGCATCTTGCATGACGACAAGCATCTCGTAGCCTGGTCTCTTATGATGCAACATATCCAGCAATTTTGCTAGAGCCGTCAAGACCTTGTTATCACAAGCAAGCTCAACAACTTTGCCGCAATGATCTTGGTCCGTGTCAAGAAGAGATGCAGAAGAACGAATGAAGTCGATGTCCTCCTTCCATCTCAATTTCGCGCAAACCTTTGTCGCAGCCTTGTCGCTTGAAGGCGAAGAGTGTTGTGAAGATGTCACTTGTCTCAACGCAAAATCGCGGATGATCTCCAGGTCTCGTCAGACACGATCAAGTCACCGGAAGTCTCACGGCCGTCGCTTCGAAGACGCTTCGCGTACCCACTGAACACACCACCCTCGCCCTGAGGTAGATCTGCAGCAATGTACATGTGCTTCAACGTGTAAGGCACCGCAGCGTCCTGAAGGGGCTTGCCATCGGAAAAGGCAATGAAGAGTAGATGGAAGATGGCATCCATGGTAGCCGGGTGTATCAGATGGGGGTACTCAAAGTCGAAAGGCATGGAAGACTTGGTGTCTGGGATGCTGATACATCCGTGGGCGCAGTGCTCGCCAGTGACTGCACCCGCTTGAAACACATTTCTGAAAGTTGGCCCGTACTCAACTCCAACAGACTCAAGCTGATCGTAGAAGTCTTCCATTTCAATTTCATGGGAGTCTTTGTGTTTCAGGTCTTTCCAATCGCTGGTCAAGACTCTCCATTTCTCCTCCGAGGGTGCTGCAGAATACTGCTCATCTTTTTCGTACTCCAGGCTCACCGTTCCATGACAGTGCTTGGTCCACGAGCCTTTCGAAAGCAAAGAGTAAACAGCGAATTTCCAAGTGGATGGAAGCGCTTCGTCTGGTCTGAGGCTGACTTCCGTCTGGACACCATGTTCTCTCGAAGGTACGACGAGACCACGCTCAAATTTGAGGTCTTGGAATCCGATGCCCTTGAGTTGCCTCGAGTTGTCTTGTAATTTGCATGCAGCTTCCAAGGCCATTACAATCATGCCAGCCGCAGGGTAAAGCACGGTCCCAGTAATTTTGTGGTCTTCGATCCAGGGGTTCTCAGAAATGCGGAGATAGTTGCGCCAGCGGGGCTCCATGGGATTTTGCAGGTCGACTGGCACCCCTAATAGATCGGTGCGAGGACCACCTGGGAATCTGGCTGATTGGGCCATCGCGGACTCATGCCAGTAGCTCTTACTATGGTTCCAAGGATAAGATGGTAGGTCAGGCAATGAGAGTGGTAAAGACTCTGGATAGATGCAATTCACCCGCAAAAGGTTTATGCTATGACCAGAACTCCATAGCTGACCGGCTAGCTGTAGCGCCGTCATCTCTGCATCCTTGTTCCGGACAATGACGGAGAGATATGGTGCCTCTTTTGCGGGCTTGCTCTGGCTTTCCTTTACAATTTCGGACACTGGACTTTGCAAAGCCCCATGAGGGCCAATCTCGATGAAGGCGCTCCACTGAATTCGCTTGTGACCTCGACTCTGTGCAGTCTCTGGCGTGTGCTCTAGTAAGGCGGTCATCGCTGGCGAGAACCGAACCTGCTCGCACATATTCTTCATCCAGTACGACGCATCTAGATCCTTGGAGGTGACGGTACCGCCAGTGAGCGACGAGAACATTGGGCAAACTTGTTCGGCTTCGTCCAGAGGGATGATATTGCCCATGTTGTTGTGGTACTCCTGGGCGACTGTTGCCATGTGAGGTGAATGGTAGGCTGTTTTGACCCGAAGCAGTCTTGCGAACTTCCCATCGGCGGAAATGGCGCTGCACAACTTCGTGACGGCATCTTGATCGCCGGATAAAGTTACACTTGAGGGGCTGTTGACGCAAGCTACCACAACTGAATCGAATGGTACCTGTTCAATGTACTTTGCAGCCTCTTCTTCGGATAGCCCAGCTGCTGCCATGGCGCCTACTCGAGGTGCAACAGCATCGGTCACCTTTGCTGAACAAATACCTCGTAGATACGCAATCTTTACCGCATTACAGCGAGATAGAAGGCCAGCAGCATATGCAGCGCCTTGTGAGTGTGTCAGTGAGAGGTCCCCGGAGTCGCAGTTTAGCGGGCTAGCTGATTCACTTACCAATCTCACCACTAGAATGGCCCACAACTGCTCTTGGCCTCACTCCCCACTCTCGAAGTAAATCAACAAGAGCAATCTGGAGAACAGTACACAGCACTTGGCTGTACTGAGGGAGATCAAGGTTTGATTCATTGGTCCGGGACAATTCGTCGATCAAGTCCCATGGGCAACCGTAATGCTCGAGAAGGGCTTGTGACCTGTGGATGCTCGTCCGGAATATGCAGTTATTGAGCAGCTCTTTGCCCATTGCTGGCCACTGTGCGCCTTGTCCAGTGAACACAAAGATTGGGTTTTCGTGTTTCGCTGCTCTTTTAGGCTTCGCAAGACCCTTGTTGAGTTGGTTTTGCAGATCTATGGCGGACTCTGCCACGGCGAAACTGCGAAATTCGAGATGAGTTCGTCGCTCTGACAGTGTGTAAGCAAAGTCAGATAGAAACCTCGGACTCGAAGTTGCTTCCTTGTTCGACAAGAAATCCCCGTAAGACTGAGCTAGGCGTTCTATCGTAGCCTGGTCTCGCGTACTGAGAGTAAAGAGTCGCTTAATGTTTTCTTGGCGAGGTGAGTCGGAACCCATGCTGATGCCAGACTCAGAGGAATCATCTTCAGAAACGGTTGTAGTGTGAGTTCCCTGTAGCCCACGGTTTCTCAAGTAATTGTATGCGTCATCGAGAATAACGTGGGCGTTGGCGCCTCCAAACCCGAATGAGTTGACACTGATGCGCCGCTGGCCTTGAGAAGGCCAAGCCATATTTTCTAAAGGCAAAGCCAAATTCCACTCAGCCAGCTTCAACTTAGGATTCACCTTTTCGACTCCGGCCGTTGGAATAAGCATGCCTTTTTCCAGGCATAGAATTGACTTTAGAACTCCAGCGAGGCCTGAGCAGCCCTCCGTGTGTCCCACATTGGCTTTGATGCTACCGACGTAGAGGGGGCCAGACTCTGGCGAGCGCCCCGTGCCGAGCGTTGCGCCGATTGCTGAAAGTTCAATGGGATCCTGCGATAGGATTAGTGGTGTCTAACGGTTCTACAGCGCCTTGTTTCACTTACACCCAGTGGAGTGCCCGTGCCGTGAGCTTCGAAGTACTGTGTATCTGAATATAAGAGTCCGGCCTTCTCGTAGGTGCTTCGAATGAGCTCGGCTTGTGCTTCAGCGCTGGGTTGAGTTATCCCCGGTGTCTTGCCATCTGCGTTGGTTCCAGTGCCGCGAATGACGGCTCGAATGGTGTCGCCGTCGCGTAATGCATCTCTCAATCTTTTGACGACAATACATGCGATACCCTCACCTCGGCCATAACCGTTGGCTCTGTGGTCGAATGAGTGTGAGATGCCCTCGGGACTAAGCATATGCATAGAGGATAGTTGGTGCATGAAATTGGGGTGTAAAATCAAGTTAACGCCAGCAACCAGGCCCTGAACAATAGTTAGTGGCTACGCCCCTCACCAATCTAGGGGGCCTTCATACCATATTCGTTTCGCCCAATTTGAGTGACTGGCAAGCTAAGTGCAGCGCGCTTAAGCTCGATGAGCAGGCTGTGTCGAGTGTGAGGCTAGGTCCACGAAGTCCAAAAAACCAAGAAACTCGGTTTGCGGTCATCGCTTCACTCATCCCAGATGCCGCTACATCTCCGACATCGAAAATATCGTGTGTTGAGAGTTGCTCATAGTCGCTTGTCATACAGCCAACGTAGACTCCCGTCTGAGAATTCGTTAGATCGCCAATCGCAATCCCCGCTATGTTCAGTGTTACTCATGATCCCTGACACAAAATCCTCGAGGAACCTCACCATTCTCAAAGCCTTCGTAACTGACTTCCAGCAGAAGTCTTTTCATTGGGTCCATTCCAGCTGCCTCCTTGGCAGTCATGGAGAAAAAGGGTGCATCAAAGACGGAGATATCCTGCTCTAGGAAGTATCCATGCTTCACACTAATCTGTAGTGATTAACTGGTTAACTCCGTAGTACGATCTTCGACTGGTGGCACTCACAGATCCTTTACGGTCAGGGTCAGGATGGTACCACACATCTGCGTCCCACCGCGAAGATGGCACCTTTCCATGGGCACTTCTGCCATGGCTAATCATATCCCAAAGTCTTCCCACCGATGTCGCCTCCCCAGGCAGGCGGCAAGCTGTGCCAATAATGGCAATCGGTTCTTGTTCGTCGCACGGGCTCATTGTGGGCTTGCTTGGTGCTGCTTGAGTGACTCTGATACGGAAATTTTTAAGAAGAGATTATCATGCATGCGACTTGGGACTTGTGTGATGGCTTGGAGCTTGGAATTCTTCCCAATGATCGATAATGAGGCAATTCCAACCGGTGTCAATCAACAATTCTTGGCTCTGCAGTAGTAGCATTGCCCAACACTGGCAGCCAATAATAGTGACCACATCCTTGCCGATTACCATATTCGGCACGAGAAAGGGCCTTCGGTTCAACCTGATTCGGTGAAGATGTCAACAAATATCCCGACTGGGACGGCCGTAACCTAGCTGGGAAGCCTGGAAAAGCTCTGGTTCACAGTTGATAGTGTCAGTAAAGAAGTAAATTTCCAGCCAGGTTCTCGTTACTTTTCCCCTTCGCTTTCGCAACTCAGAAACTTCCCTTATCGTGAATTTACTTCGATATTGCTGCTGTCGACATGAGGATTCTAGCATTGCATGGTGTCGGCAGTTCTGCCAAGATCCTAGAGACCCAGCTCGTTGGCTTGATGAGATCGGTCGACGCAAGCTACGAGTTTGTGTTGGTTGATGGAGCTGTACCATCGCACCGAGGACCTGGTAAGAACACCACCAAGACGGCCCGTCGGAATTCTTCTCGAAGATGACCTAGGCGCCATTTCAAATTTAAGCATACTGGAGATCAGTTGACGCTAACGCTGGAATGAATCTAAGGCATGAGCCCGGCTCTAAGCGGACCGTTCTACTCTCATGCGACGGGATACTCGCCCACAGAAATTCAAGCTGCACACCACCAAATCGCCGCCACTGTCGACGAACTAGGCCCATTCGATGGCATATTAGGCTTCAGTCAAGGTGCATCATTGGCCCTGTCGTACATTTACCACCAACAAGTCAACGGCGAAGAGCCTGATTTCAAGTTCGCCATTCTCTTTTCATCCGTCGTGCCATTCTCGGCAGACTCGACATACTGCGAAAGCGAAATCGATCAACTTTGCTCATATCGCCGCAGCGGGATGCACGCAAAGGATCTCGCACCTCGGCAGCAAGTCTTTAATGACTGTCTTGTTCGGACGTTCCAGTCTGCCTTGAAGATCGGGGCTGTTCTGCCGGACTTCAACCAGGATTTCTTCAGGGATGCGGGAGTCATGGTCCCTCGTGTGCTGCATCCCATGTTACTTTCAGAGCGCATACATATTCCAACGGTGCACGTGTCTGGCAGGCGAGACTTTCCTTTCATGCACGATATGCATGAGATAGGGTACCAGATGTGCGATACCAGGCTTTCTAAGAAGTTGCATCACTCAGGAGGGCACCATCCACCGAAGAAGGAGTCTGAGATCAAGGCCGTTGTGAGGGCTATGGAATGGGCGGTAGATCAATACTACAGACAGCCACCATCTTTTTTATGATCAAGCATAAGGATAGACCACAGCGATCATCTGGGATTTGGACATGTCTAGTCTACGTCACTCAGTTACATCTTAAATCTCAGGTTTCAAACGCATTCTCTCTTTATTCTTATCAGCCTCGTCTCCGATTCTGCAGCGCGGAATGCAAAATATATTGATACACAAGCACTTCCGGAGGCCTTCCAGTGATCGACCCCATGTTTGCTCCACATTGCCCATACGTTCTGCCGCATACGAAATAACGGTACCACTCGAGTGCAAGTCTAAGTCTGTGAATTCAGTAGCCCTCCTCAAGTCTTAAAATGAGTTCCATGTTCTTGTCTGAGAATGCTTCTTGTACTCCGCTAACTCTTTGGATTTCACGTTGGCAGGCCGTGACAGATAAAGGCCAATTCAACTCCAGAACTCCAATTCTCAAGGGCTCCCCCCTTTGGCAGCTAAAGCACCCATCTGGATGATAACTAAACAGATGTGACTCGATTCTCATGTTTCCGATTTTGCTGTCTTCTCGACCCATCCTGTGCTCAAATGGTGTCGTTGCGCTTATTGAAAACGTCATTATTTCTCTCAGACTCAGTCGGGCTGAGATCTTGGTGCTTCATCTCCATGCTGTCAGTCACCTCAACCTTAGAGGATTGGTCTCCATTTTCGTCCCCGCCCACTGACGGGCTTGCTTGCTTCACAGTCTTCCACTGCACCAGAGCGCTTCCTGCGATACTGGCACACGCTAGTGAAACAGCAACATACCACGAATTGGTAAGAGACTTGCTGTAGATGCGCAGGACGGAATCAAGAGTATCTGGTGGCAGCACTCCCTGCTGCCTAATGCTGTTTGCCCCGCCATTGACAATCGCAGTAGCGTTGATGTTTGGTAACTCATTTGCCAAGCCGGACCGGAGCTCATTAGTAAAGACGTTTTGGGCGACAGAGATGAAAATAGCGCCTCCAAAAGTCTGCAGAAACATTATTAGAGCAGTTCCAAGCGGTATCTCCTCCATTGGCAGGACGGTTTGGACTACCATCAAAGGAGTCTGCATGCTCTGGCCAGATCCAAGACCATAGAGGATTTGATATCCAATCCAGTCCCGAGTTGGAATGTCTGCTTTCCACGTAGTAAGAAGACCAGATCCAATTGACATGAACAGAGTCGAAGCAATCATGAAAGGGTTATAGTACCCGATCTGTGTGATGCCCACTCCGCTGGCAATTGACGCCAGAGCTGTGGACAGTATCAGGGCCAAGTTCATGAGACCCGAGTCCACGGCAGAAACACCCTTGATGGCTTGGAACCAGATCGGGATGTACTGCCTCAGCGTGAAGTCAGCCCCGGCTGTGCAGACCGAGAACCAACAAGCTGCGGCCACACTACGCTGAGAGATGACTTTGATAGGAAGTGTGGCATTTTTGCCATTTTTTGTCTGAATAAAAACGAATGCAATCGAGAGCACGCCGAACAGTACGAAAAGGACAATGACTCTCGGATTGCTCCATGGGTAGACAGTCCCGCCCCATTGCAGCGCGAGAAGCAAGCAGATGACGGCAGGCATCAGAGCGAGTGTACCAACCGGGTCGACTTGCATAACCTTCTCTAAAAGAGTTTTCTTTTCTCCATTGGCAGGGCGAGGTGGCGATTGGAAGAGAAAGATCATGATGACGAAAGCGACAGCTCCGATTGGTAGGTTGATGTAGAACTATTTATCGTCAGGCTGCGAATCTTGATAACCCGCTTTTTGTCCGACGGATCAATGACTTACACACCAGCGCCACGTCACCTTGTCGGTGAAGGCGCCCCCAAGCAACGGCCCAACAACCGAAGCGATGGCGTACACAGCTCCAACTAAGCCAGTATATGCAGGTCTCTTGGGTAGCGGAATTATCACAGCAATGATTGTGAAGGTTCCTGCCAGGATACCTGCACATCCAACACCTGCGATCGCCCGACCCAAAATCAGGACCACAGACTGGGGAGCAGCGCCGCATATAGCCGATCCGATTTCGAAGATGATGATAGAGATCAGATAGATGAGCTTGATGGAGAAAAGAGAGTATAATTTGCCAAAGGTGAGTTGAAAGGTGCAAGTTGTAAGAAGATAGGCACTTCCGTACCACCCAATGTCGTTTATAGATCGAAACTCATCTGTGATACGTGGGATGGCTGTTGATATGATGATATTATCCTGTCAAATATTGTGTAAGCTCTAGCCTCAAGGATTTATCTCTGATGGACGGATCTTACCAGCCCCACTAGGAAGAGTGTAGTTGTTGTTGTTGTTGTTGTATTTAACGCCGTGGCGGCCGGGCTAGAGCCCTTACCGCAGACCTCCCGAAGGGTATATGGCGTGGAGGGCCGTGAGCCAAGGCTACCTACTCTACAGTACGTCGTCTCTTTACATCGTCCTCCAAATCATGCCTTGTGGCCACTACGCGTTCTGTCTGTCCCCGGTTCCCGCTGGTGCCCCAGTTTCATTCTTTCCCAAATCGTCCCTTGGAATCGGGAGGTTCTTTGTAGTCCGCACTCACATCTACCTAGGTGTGGATGCTGCTACCGCAGACAGATCTTCTGGAAGAAGTCCGTCACGCGGAGAAAGGCCTCGAAGCCTCGTGGGTCGGTGATTAATCTCTTGAAGTAGGCCTCGAGAGATCCCATAGGACCTATGGGCTCGGGCATACTGCGAGAGTGGAGGGTCGGCCACCGTTGCCTCCTCGCCAGCGTTAGTCGACAGTAGACCAGGTGGTCCACGTCTTTCGCCTCTCCACAAGAGCACATCATTAGAGCGTCGTCGTGGTTGAAACGTCGGTGATATTGCTCGAAGTCCCCGTGACCCGATCGTGCCGCCAGCAGGTGATGTAACGTAGCCCGCGGCAAGGCCAGTTCAGGAGGGCTGGACAGAGCTGCCTCAAGCCCCAAGTCCGCGTACCGCGGCCTTCGCTCTTTATACCACCATCTCCTGTGCTGGCTTTGTAATTTTTCCCTTGCAAGCCGCTTGATGCCCGCTAGTGTTGCCATTTGACCCATCCGCGCCGGCAGTGTCGTTCCTTCTTTGGCCAGCCGGTCCGCGGCCTCGTTTCCTTCGATGCCCTGGTGTCCCGGGGACCAGTGCGTCCGTATATCAAATATCCTGGCCGCTTCTTGGATTTCGAGGAACGCGTCTTGTGACGAGTCCGGCGCCTTGCCGCGGATGCCTTGTATAACGCTGGTGTTGTCGATACATATGTGGATTGGATGACCGCGATTGGTGAGCAGAGCCCTTCTGAGGCCGGTTCGCGCCCCTTCGACCTCGGCGTCGAACACTTCTGCTAGTCCGAGTCGGCCGCACCCTTGCGCTATGCGTTTGGAGTCTCGGTAGATGACGAAGCCGTACCCCACGGCTCCGTTCGTCGCCCTGGAGCCGTCCGAGAAGACGATCATATGGCTTTCCGGTACTGTCTTTAGCCAGCGCTCGAAGCTTTCGCAGCCTCTTCTTTGCATTGAACTACTATCTGATCCTGTGAGCTTGGCAGGTACTGTGATTGGAGGAACGTTGGTCTTCCGCATCTTGGCAGAAGTTCAGCCGTCCGTTGTAGTCTCGTCTGTTGCTGTCCCTGCTGGGAGAGCCGCGCGACTAGCGGGTGTCGGCGATCAATCCTCTGTAGTCGGACTGCGGCCCGTAAACGGACGCCTTCTAAG